GCTTTCTCACGATGGTAATTGATGTCGGAATGACAATTGTCGATTAATTACAATCACTTTCAGACATCGAGAGGTAATTAATTCGTTTGGATGCGCGAAGCAAATAATTTTTCCATTTCAATTGTCGACTTGTTCGTGTATTTTAATAAAAACCATTGGGTGGGAATGGGATATTTTTTTTTCTGGTAATTTCAAGACCTTTTCAATCCAAAAAGGGCAATTACAATTTTTCAATTTTTTAATTTTTACTATTGAATATGAAATTAGAAATAAATATAAACACTTGAAGTTAACTTTCATCTTCAGCAAAACGATTAATCATCTCTCCGGTGGGAAAAATTCGGTCATGGACGATAGTTAATGATGAAAATGATAAAATACAATTGTTGTGAAGTGTGATAGATGGATTAATTCTGCGTAAAGGGTCATTACTCAATATTAAACTCAACTTGTCGGTGATTTCTTCATGTTTGCGCCTTTTTTTTTATTCGAAAGCTGTAAAAATTCGAGCGATAAATCACGACATGAGGCTATCCTTTGGGCTCGGTAATCTCGTAATTGAATGTCAATTACCGGATTTTATTGTCGTTCTCGGAGGTTAAACGGCGTTTTTTTAATCATTCCGTGGGAATTTATTTTCTCATTTTTTTATTGGGTGAAGTGGCACTAGGGAAATTTGTATGTGTGTGGTCGACTATTGTTTATTCTGCAATTGGGCACGAGTTCCTGGAGTACGGAATTACTCACTGGCCTCGATTTTACACTTCAACTTGACAGGTTTTAATAATTGTGCAATTGACGTGGCAATTGAATGTTTGTTCTACCGTTTTCTAACGAGGAGTCCTAATTTTTTGTTGAATTCGTGCTGTCAGAGAATTGCACTTGCTGTTTGAAATTAAAATACTTGAAATTTCTGATGTAGAGAAAGTGACGGGAAATTTATCGTGAAATTTTTCCTTGAAATATTCCGCGTTAATAATAATTGAATGGATTTAATTTTAAAAAATTTGACACGAAGTCTTGATATTTTGGCGGGATATTTCGAGATCTTTCAAGATATTTCGAGACACTGAAATATTTCGAGATGTTTCGAGATACTTCGAGAATTTTCCTCAAAAAATTCGAGAACTTCTCATCCCCTGATAAATATTTAAATCATAAATATAAAAAATATAAATATTGAAATATAATTATCGAATATAATTTTCAATTCATTTTTTATTCTCTCAATCCGAGAATTGCGTGTCCAGTATTTCGAAAAAAAATTTGAAAATTCCCGAAAAGCCTGTCCCCATATTTTCCACAGCCAATCAACATCGCAACCGATTTACAATTTACCGATGATAAATCATCCCTACCCGAAAGACTTCACTTTTTCACGCGTAAAACGGCATCACAAATCTTGCGATCTGCTATCGAAAAGCCAATGGAAGATTTATAGTCTCGTTTCTACGATGCCCACACGCCTTAATCTCACATTTTACTTCCAATTTTTTTTCCCTCGCAAAAAATCAAAACAAACAAAACGAAAGAAAAAAAAATGGAGATTAATGCCGGAGACGCAGGCGCCTGAATATGAAACCGCAAACGAATTGTACAGTCATTGTATACATGTACGAGACTCTCTGGATACCCGTTCGCCCACTGGGTATTCCAGTATTCAAGTTTCTTTATAGCGAATAGGAAACTACGTGTTTCACCTCTAATTCTTTTTCCCCTCGTTCCGAACAAAGGATTGAACGAAATAAGAATCAGTAAGTGCACGTATGTGTCACTGGTGAGCTACAGTTTTCCTTATTAGGACGACCGAGCCTGTTTTTCTAATGAGTAATCAGCGATTCATTTGGAATTACAATCAAAAAATTTTTAATCATGCATAATTGTTCTCTTCTTTGCGAAAAAAAAAGCTGTCTTACTCGGGACAAGTCTAGGGATTTTTTTGCGGTGGACCTGGGATTTTTGCCTCGCGTCTTTGGGACTTGAAGTTTTCTGAATATCCCCGAGGGGTGGGGGGTTGATTTGCCTTTTTTTAAAAGACAAATATTTGCGAAGAGTTCTATTTTCACAGATAAGCTGTTTTTTTATTTATAAATATTGTAATATCGCATCGATTCCCGGGCAGTGATCGACTGCGCAACTTCCGTTGCGTTTTTTCGTTGCATAATGAAGAGTCCTTAGCAGATGACTGAAGTGTTGTCATGATAATCAATTCTTTCGGAATAACTGATGTCTAAAAATAAACGGAAATACTTGATTACGGTTTATTAACGATCAATCTCACTCGGCAAGATACTAAAGCACTGAAAGCCACACACGATAGTCGACTGGTAATGGACAGAGGTTAATACCGACATTGAGATGAGGAGCAACGATAAACTTACCCTCCCCCATCTTTGTGGCACTTCATCACACTCTTGTCTTTATTTCTCACTTCTCATTACTTTACGACCCGTCCCTAATTCGGCACGTCCCGTCTAGCTTTATAATTAACTACAGCCAATCAACGGGGTTTACATTTCATTCGAGAATTTTTACATCTTCGCGGGGGCATGGACGATTATTAATCCACTGGTGTCAATTGACCGCTGTTTTACTATTCACTTCCTTATTTTTCATTCCGACACACTCAGAGTAACAAGCGGGGAATTGCATTTCCATTGCTCATTGTACTGTTATTTTTGCCAATAAAATAACAATTCGATTCCGAATGAGAAATTATTCGCTCATTCGTGATTTCAAAGTGATGTCTCGTGATTTCTTGAGATATTTGATTTTTAAATGATTGCCCTCGTGATTCGTATTTTTTTTTAGGTTCTTGGGAATGCAATTATTTCGGAAAAGATCTCCTCTTTGAATTTACGGGATTGCCCGCGCGTGCTGCGCATGCACATTCATTCAAAATATTTGATAAAAATAAAAAAATAATTAAATATTCATTATTTTCCCGCCTCCCGCCGTTAGACCAAATTCGTGCAATAATTTGAAATTTCCCTTGATTTCCGTAATGATTCCCAAATTTTTGAGATGTGCGAATTTTTGACATTTTTCAAATTTTCAAAATTTTGTTTCGCCGTCAGAGGGCGGGTCGGTTTCGTCTCACGGTCATTCGAGATATTTCGAGATCGATTTTTTTTCTCCTTTTTATATTAGGACTAGGAATATTTATTGATTTAATTCTTACGTACCATAATTTCCCCCACCCTCTCCCGAAATATCGGCATAAATAAAAAAAACAGAAAATTTCATTCAACTAATGAAAATGAAAAAAAAATGTCTCCTCGCCTCTTCCGGAGTCTCAAACAGATTGCAATCAATGAATTAAATTATTTCAATGCTCCCACACCTCTCAGGTGTTCCCATTGACACTCGCCACACAATAAAGATTGAACAAAAACCACAAATGAATAAGTCGAGACGAAAAAAAAAAATCACTTGGAGTCATGGGTCAGATAAATTTATCTCATCCGCGTAATCAACAATTTTATGACTTTTTTAATTAACGGAAAATGAAAAAAATTAATAGAAAAAATTGATTGAGCGATGCCGACGCGGTTTCGAACGTGTCAGGGACACTGAGACATAAAATGTTGTAATATGCATTTTACGAGGTGCGTTTTATGCAGAAAATTAAGCGCAAATGATAATTTAATGTGACGAGGGGAGGGGGTACCCGTAGGTATTTCTCCTACGCTTTGATGAGAATTGATGTTTCCGACGGTTGAGTGTCAAGACTTTGACGCCTGAACAGGAAATTACTGTAGTTTGTTATGAAAATTGTGGGAATTTTCTCGTTGCGAATATCGGCTCGTGGAAATTTTTCGATTTTTCCGCCGGAAGTTACGGGATTTCCCCCTCATTTGGAAATCAGTTGAAATCACACCGCGATCTCCAACTCGAATCCGTTCAAGATCAGTTAAATAAAATATAAAGTTTATAAATATTCCCACTCCTTCTAATTTAAATAATTTATATGTAAGGTTGTCTGCCATCAGGATTGACTCAAATTCTTTTTAAAAAATTTGTTCAAACAATATAATATTCACTCAGATTAACTATTTAAAATTATAAATATCTTGTTAATCATTGAATTGTTGTCGGATAAAATTCCAAATTGAGGGCGTCGCGGATTTTTTTTTTTAATATTAGGATTTGGGGTTCTGGATTTTTTTTCTCATGTGATGAAATTGAAAATGTCTTGTCAATACTTAATCATTGAATTATTGAATTAATCATTGAATTATTGTTGGATAAAATTCCAAATTGAGGGCGTCGCGGATTTTTTTTTTAATATTAGGATTTGGGGTTTTGGGTTTTGTTTGTCATGTGATGAACTCCGATGAACCGAGAAGTTGGCGGCAGCTCGTGCGCCCTGGATTGTGTTTATTGTGTTGAATCAGCGAGGAATTGATGGACGTGTGCAGTTTTAGCGACCCACTTGCCGTGCGAAACCTATTGACGTAGGTATTTTAAGACATTGTATTATTTTCGCGTGCAACGTTCAAAATATAACGAAGATTTTTTTCCCCGATCACTGAATTCGATACAAGAAATTGTGCGGAGCATTTTCCTCATTCGACTTTCTCCCTTCTTTCATTTTTTTTTATAATATACAATTTCTTCAGCCTCAAATTTTATTTATTCTGCATCCGCAATAAAAAATGAGATCCCTTAAAAAAATTAGCGGAAATAAAATTTGAAAAATTAAAATCATAATCATACCCCCAACATGGAGTCGCTCAAAAAAGGCTTTAAATTATTTTTACGCTGCGCTCCCAATTTTCGAATAATTTTCCGGCATTTTATCTCTGAAAATTGATTTTCATATTTCTACTGACAAATTTTAAACTTCTCTCATTCGTTTGAATGATGGAATAATTTCCCACAATTTCCTCCGCGGAAAACGCAGAGTGGTGTAAAAATGATCGAGACTTGCCTTTCATTTATTTCCGCTCATAAATTGGCTCCCAAAAATCCTGCAAAATGGCGAAGGGTACAAAAAAAACAGGTCAAACCGCTCTCCAAACAGAAGTGACGACCGATGAAGATTGGCAAGAGATTTTATCTCGAAAAGGTTTAATACTAGTCGACATCTACTCGGAATGGAGTGGCCCGTGCACCGCCATGATCTCAACGCTGAGAAAAATCAAAATGGAGGTTGGCGACATGCTGAGCTACGCCGTAGCACGAAATGACAGCATCCAGGACCTGGAGAGATTCCGAGGGAAGTCAGAACCCACGTGGATGTTCATTGAAGATGGGCAAATGGTGAATCTATTTTATGGGGCGGACTGCCCAAAATTTTTAAAAGCCCTGCGCTCGGAGGTTAAACGAGTGCAGGAGGGAGAACAACCTGATTGGGTACTTCCGGTTGCTCAGAGAGGGCCTGAAGAAAGTGTGAGATATGCTCGAGAGGAAAACATCAGGTATTCCAACAGAAGACTTTTTCGAGGTTAAAAAATGTTTTCACATCCGAATTTGAGAAAAAAAAAGAATCATCAAAATTCCACATTCGATTTTCGGGGTCATTACAGCAACGTGCGTCCTCCCTTTGGGTCGGAAAGTTAATGAGAATAATTTGAAAATGAAATTGTGAGTAATGGCCTTTCAACACACCTGCACGGAAGGTTTGCACTTTGCGCCCTGATGAGCGTGGGGAAAGTGAGTACTTCCCGTCCTCGGGTAGAAAGGTGCTGTCAAGGTCAAAAGACTTCAAAGAAGTCAAGACTTTCCGGCCTTGGGGGGAACTTTCCCTCGGCCAGGAAACATGACTTTCCGCCCTTGATGCATAATACACTATTTTCTATTGAAGATAAATTTTTGTATTGCATCGCAGAATATATCCTACAATTAGAAATAATTGGGGAAATGGTCTGTGGGTCAATTACCGAATCTCTCATGTCACCATCAACATAAACATCGTTTTGTTCCCGTCAAGGCAATCAATCTTAAACAAACAACTCGCCAAGATCGAAGGAGAGAAACGTGCAATCTACGAAGAGTACCTTTACTACATGATGTGCGAGTTATCGGAGGAAACAATTTTGATCCTGTACCCATGGGTCTTTCTCGACGACGCGAGATACGCGAAAGATAAAGAAAAATGTCCGCCCTACCGGGAGCTGATTTATGGGCTGCTTCCGGATCGGTTCGATGTCCTTGAGCAAAGCAAGATACAGCTGGACGAGGATATGGTGAGGAAGATGCACGTGGAGACTGATGTCGAGGTCACAGATGACTTGATTGAAGGTCACTCAACATTTTCCCCGTCTTGATTATTTTTTTGGGATAATTTCTCTCACAAATTACATTTTCTGATTTTTCGGATATATTTAATTAAGAGATTACTGAACGTTTGTTTTATTTTTTTTGAATTACCTGAATTGTTGTGTAATATTTACTGAATATTTCTTTCGAGGTTAAGGTCTGGTGGAGAATAAGATTCTCGCGATGAGGCTCAAGGCACGCCCCCCACCCGCGGATTGGCCGGTACCATATCCTTTCAAATGCCCTGATGATGATAAGAAGTGTCCAATGAGAGAAATTAACGACGTGGAGAATTATCTTTCACTGATTCTCGAGGAGAAATTCGTTGGGGATGATCAGGAGGGGGATGAGGCTCTCAGCTACGTCGAGAGACATAAATTCGTGGTTAGGTGGGGTGAAGATGAAGAGGAGGAAGAGGATGGAAGGGAAGTAGTTTATCCTGCTGTCTTCTATTCACCACAAGTAATTAAGACAAAAATTGCGCGTCATGCATCTCGTCAATGACTTGTGGCATGTCGAATCAGATGATTTGTACTCATGTATTCATCATTGACGATTCGGGAGATATTGAGCCGCACCTGTGCGCATACCCCTCCATGCGTACCGCTCAACTGCGCAAGTTCCGTTGCGTTCTTTCGTTGCATGAGATTCTTCGGGGATTCCTCCTACCACAAAATTTTGATGAGAGCTCGGATGTTTGCACATAGAAAAAAAAATCAGAAATAGGAATAAATATTTATAAATTCTTCGGCTTCTTCAGGCTAGGAATAAAGTTCATGTGTTCAAGACACTGTTCTCGAGTTATTTGGAGAAATCTCATCCTTATGAAGAGCCAGTGAAGCTCGCACCGCTGTGTGCATTTAAATTCGACTCGAGTCAGACAAAAATCGTTTTGGATTGCTACAATGATTTTTTGGAGGCCATAGAAAAATTCGGAGTATTTGAGTTTAACGATTGGAGGGCGCGGCGACTCGCGTCGATTCCGGAGGACTTCATCGACAAGGTTCACTCAATTAATCGATTAATCCAATCAATCATCTGCTCGATGCGATTTTTTTTACGATATTCCGTCGTATTTCTAGATTCAAACGAAAACCGGGGATGAAATATTTTTGTTCGTCATCCGTCGGTTGAAGGACGAAACTTTTTTATCATTCGCGGGGAGCAATCCTCTCGAGATTGAAGAAGACGAATCCAAGGTCAATGAGATCCTGGACTTGTTCTTCCCTGAAGGAGCACTCGAGTACAATCCTGACCTAGTTCACGTCGAAGAGAGTCACGACGAATTTTTCGACGCGATCGAAGAAGCTGAGGATTACGATGATGAGGAAGAGTTCGTGGAAAATCATAAATTGTCAATTCCTTAGGCACTTGGATTTCTTTCAAAAAGCTTGGTTTTTTTTGCTGGAATTCTGAACATCTTTACTCGCTGGTACTCAGTGTTACGCAAACAATTGCACAATAACTTGCACGATGTAAAAAGCGAAAGACAAATAAATAAACACTGAGACATGACTGAAAAAGACGAAGACTAGTGACTAGCATCAATCACTCGGTTACATTCCACCTTTGTCTCGGATTCTTTTTTCAACATTTCAGTCCTTCAATCCCTCTGCCCCTCTCTGGCTTTATTAATCGACCATTTTACCGCATGAGGCCGCGAAACAAGGTCACGTGGAGATTCCAGACGAGATAATTCTTCATTTTCATTAAAAACAACAAAAGTATCCACATTGACAACAGACCAAACGAGTGGGAAAAAACAATGGATTATTTAATTTTTTTGCTGCGTAACGTAGACATAATGCCACTCAATTAACAATTTACTTTGGAATGAATTCTCTTTATTTGATTATTCTGTTTTATTAAATTTTTTTATGTCATGATAGTTATCAATTCAACTGCCATCGAAATTATTGTGCGTATTGTTCTTGAAATCAGAAATTAGTCAGGGTTCAGTCGGAATTTAAAAGGAACTTAGTCCGGATTTACCCAGAGTTTAATCCATAGAAAGATTCCACAGAAAATTATAATCTAGAGATGAGCATTTTTTAATGACACTTATCGCTGCTCCTGAATTGTTGTAAATACAAAAAAAAAAAATTGTTTGCGATTTCGTTAAACTGTAGTAATAAATTCTTTCTGCAGAGAAGGATTTTAATTTCAGAAAAAAATGGTGGGGGGCTACTCGACCTGCGGGGAATTCTTTAAAATCGTTGGAATGAGCTGTTGAGGTGTGAAAAAAAAATCTTTCGACATTTGAAATTCTTGAGGAGTTCGAAGGTCACGGTGTGGGTCAATGGGATGTCATGTGGAAGGAGGGGGTGAAGGCGGCGATTAGGGGGTGCGGCGAGCGGCCGGTGGGAGGGGGGTAGTGGGGTGAGCGGCCGGTGGGAGGGGGGAGTGCAGTGGGGGGGATTTATAATTGCAGTCGGAGAGTGCGCGAGTGCTCAGTCGCTCAGTTGTTGCGCGTCGGTCGCTGCGCGTGTCCGAGTGCGATAAAAATAGAAATAATCGGGGACGTGTACTTTATTTATTTATTCATGTTCTTACTTGTTTGCTTGGAGAGTGCATCCGGGAATTCCAAGTGGCTGTGAAGGACACCGCGGGTCCCAGTGTCCCGGGTGGAATCTACGCGAATGTTCTGGGGATTGAGGAAAGTCCTCTGGTGAAATCGAGTTTTTATCTTTTTTGCGGATTTTTTTTTTTTTCGGACCTCTTTTGAATACTGGTTACACGTGACGATGGTGGTGAACAAGGTCATCATGTCCACGTACAATCCAACACCCAGGAGGAATTTTTTTTCGGGTCTTCATGCAGAGGTAATTGGAGAATTCTGTGATGATTGATTGATCGATTGAGGGAATTTCGGGGGAGCGTGATTTTTTTTGCCATTGGGTGGGAAAATTTTTGGGGTATTTTTTTTTGGATAGAATTTTTTCAAATCTTGTCATAATTAATGGTGATGTCAATTTTTGATAGAATTTTCGTCCTTTTATTTAAATCTGCTATTCGTTTTTTTTTAGGGTAAATCTAAAAAAAATCAGTGAGAAGTTTATGTAATTGAACAACAATTGAAAAATTATAAAAATTTCGCTGGATAGAAACTTTTGAATTGTGCAATTTTTTCAATTTCTCAAATGACTGCAATAATGAATAAATAATCAAAAAATTTATTACAATTCTATGAAAATTATTTTTGGGTTTGGTTGACCCCAAAAGACGCGGGTCTATTGAGAAAAGTGAATAAAAAGCTGCCGATGTTATTTTTATGAAATGTTCTTCCTACTTGCCACAACAATTCTCTCAATTTTATTTTCACTTTTTCGCGTTAAACGGATTCTTGAAACCGCTGGCGTACCGCCAGGTCGTATTCTCGTTTAATTTTTTCAATGTTTTTTTCTTGACTAGAAGTATCAAAGAACGGAGATAGGTGCAACGCATGTGCCAATTGATTTCTCTGAAGCGTAACCGACGCCGAGTGCGTGAAAAACTACCTTTTCCAAGAACTTTTTTCCACTCTATTCTCGTTCTTCGTTTTGTAGAAATAATATACCCTGATTATTTTCTAAACCCCTGAGCTCTCGTCATCGAATTTTTGTGATAGGGTAATCCCCATAAATTTACACGCAACGAAAAAACATAACGGAAATTGCGCAGTCGAGCGCTGCGCATGCAGCACGGTGCGCGCCATTGTATGCGCATGCATCATCGCGCGAATACCCTCTCAGAGACAAAAGGGCTTGCTCGAAAAAATCAACGGATAATAACCGGTGATATGATGATTAATTATTTTTATCACTTCGTAAAATGGCAGCCGATTTGGCCCGTTGCCTGTCCCGATGATTTCTCAACAGCTGCTTTTTTTTTTGCGGAATCAAAGTCCATGGGGCTGGATCTTGTTTTTTAGTAACAAGAAATGCGTGAAAAATTGTCGGGTAGTTGAAGCACTGACGCAGGACATACATTAGCGTGGATAGACCCCATATTGCCCTGTTATCAGTCGACCACTCGAAAATGTAGGTCCAGAGTCTTTATTAATAGTCGGTACTGTGGAACTAGGAAGAGTTCGAGGCTCTTGAGTAATTATAATTGCAGATAGAAAAATCGTTTTGAATTCTTTCTCATTTCTCTTTCAAATTTTTTCGTTGTACTCGAAATATGGAAGGTCGATACAAAATTATCATAAATTATCATAAATTCCTACAACTCATATCGATATCAATTATTATTTTTTTCCTTTTCATTTTAATTTTAATTTTAATTTTCATTTCCTTTTCATTTTCAATCAGAGAAAAATTGGATCAATAGCATTTCCCAGACAAGAATCGGAAATAATTTCCGATGAAATGTCTCATTAGAATTTTCTCCACAATTTTTCTTATTCGCTGATTTTTATAGTGAAAATAAAAATGGCGCAAGACCGGATGTCTTTAATCCAGGGTTCGCGCACGAGTCCGGCACACGCGCTCTTTTAATTTCGTCATGACCCCTTTTGATGGATCAATTGGATCACAACCACCACCGGAAACTGCTCAATTTCTCTCGAAAAAACAACCAACAAATCCTCCCTCCTCATGTTTTTTATTTTCAGTGCTAAAAATTCCCCAATCATTATTCACCTTTTAAATAAAAAAGCGTAATCAAACTGTATGCCCCGTCGTCGAGGAATCGCCGAGTGAAAATATTCCGCTGAAATCGGCGAATTAATTGAATCATTAACAACATTTTGTTGCGACTTTTCGAGAAAGCACTGTCTTATATAATTCCCTGAATTGAAGACCGGGTCGTATTTTTCGAGATTATTTTTTATCATTAATTGCAGAAATCCCCGTGATGCGGAAAATTGCGAATGGAGTATTGATGATTTACTAGGCTGATAGTCTCATTAACCCCTCGTGAGTTAAATTTGAGGCCCATTTAATCCTCATGAATGTCAGACCAGAAGATTAAATACAGCGACGATAAAAAATCGATTTTGCAAATGTACATTTCACATTGAAAAATGGCAGATAAGGGTCTAAACTTCAGACTCTAAAGATATGGTACTCTGCGTATTTTTATGGTTCACCATGGGGGGTCCCAATTATCGTATTTCTCTTTTTACATAATCCCCTGAGAGTCAAGTCGTCCACAAGAAACAATCCCGATGTGCATAATTCAATAAAAATTATTAAATCCTTATCTGAAATTACCCTCTCATCCGGGATCTAATCTCGTCATCCACTCTTGAGGTCTCGTAATGGGCGCACGCAATATAAAAAAACAAAAGTGAATAACTAATGTTTGATGGTTAACTTGATCGTTAGACACGAGGGAACGAGACAAAGTGGATCAAAGGCTGCCGACTTGCACTTAAAACTGATACATACATACATTTTTTTTTTATTTATTCAACTGCTCCCTTTTCTTGACACATACGTCGACACGAGGTCAACACGTCTAGCTTGGAATCTCGGTTAGATATGGATACGTCTTCATAAACAATAACAAGTGGATTCTTTTGTGAATCCGTTTATGTTCAGCAGTCCATATCTCCGAGGCTCATTGATAGAAATTAAGTTGTAAGCAATTGATTGTTTACAAATTCCATACTCTTCAACGTCCAATCAACGGATTGTCAATCCCATCATTATTTTTTGGTAGATCTTGTGAAGTATGATGAGGACTTATTTGACGTTTTCCGGGCGATTATGAAATTTTTGAAGGTTTTTCATCCCCTACGGTCCAGCTAATTTCGGGAGAAAATCTGAGTACAAGGGGCCTACTCTCTTCGAAATTTTACGGGCTTTACAATAGACTTTAGCAAACGAAAATGGGACCCATGGGCCCGGAGATATCGATACAAATGTGAAGGAACTTTTTCTACGTACATGAAAAAAATGCTGATCTTTAATTTTTTGTTATTATTGATTGTCTAAGGTGAGGATGGGAGGAATTCGATGAATATTGGTGTCATTTTTTAGAAAATCTCATGCACTTTAAAACATCGCGTTGTTAGCAGCAACACGATAAACCGTGACGGATCTGTCCTCAAAAAGGTGAATCCTCTCAGCAGTCAATCTTGCCAAATTCATTGAAAATCGATGAATAAAAGTCCTCGCCTCCCACCTTTTCTCCAGACATATCCGTGAGAAGTGAAACTTATCCACTTTCTCGTTAAAAAATCAACAAGCCCTCTTAAAAAAAGTCATTAAAGTCACTTTAAAAAAACTTCTAACCACCTCAAGCGTCTCTAATTATCTCACACTCATCCAACGTCAGTCATTACTCTCATAAGAACCCACAATTAATCCACATCTATAAATACTCATATGATTAACAACTTTCTCCGGGTATTTATCGTCTCCGGAAGCCAAGGAGGAAAAAAAAAAATGATTACGCGCGTCCTTGCACTTCCTGTCTGACTCTTTTCCCTTCTCTCCTCTTCGAGACATCCAATGATTCACGTTCTCATTCATCCGGTCGTTCATTCATCCCTCCCGCCCTCCTCGTCCCTCCGAGACACTACAATCGGCGTAATCATTTTATTTCTCGGAAAATTTCGCCAATTAAATGTTAAATCAACAATTATCCTCGTCGAGGGGCGGTGGAGGGGGGAGGCGTTGCTTTATTCACAGAAAGGCATTCTGAGAATATAATTAACTTCGACGAAGGGTCGCAGGGCTGAGGAATGCCACTGTGAGTCAGAAAGAATTTGAGGAATTTTATTTTTTTTTATGGGTGAGCTTTTTTGATATCGTTCAAGAACCGCTGGATGCTGTGCGCGTTGATGGGAATGTTTTAAATTAAAAATTTTTTCGCGGCATTTTCAGCCCGGGAAATATATCGAGAGCAACAATCGATTTTCAGGATCGATTTCTTCAGTTCCAGTTGTTATTTCAATTTCAATTTATTTCAATTTCCTGCGAATAGCTCGAGGATGAATCATCCGATCTCGCCGACTTTCTTTTTATTGGAAAGGATATGGAATTCCCCGCGATATTTGCAATCGCAAATTTAATTCGCACCATTCAATCCCTAGAAGACATTGAAGAAAATTGTTAAATCGATTGTTACAGTCGAAATAATTAACGAAAAAATGGCGATCCGATTTTAATCCGACCGGTCTTACCTCAAAGAACCAAAAAAATTCTGAAAAAAGTAATAAATTCCGGGAATGTCGTACCGGAAGACGAACCCAATCCAATTTAATCCCTCTTTTTCCTCATTCCTCATCTCGAAGACGAGTTTATGATTCAGCGGTGTGGATCTCTGGGAAAAGAAATAAAAGAATTGAGTTTAAAGATGGGTTACGCGAGGGTATCCCGCGTCGATGATTCACTCTCTGGTATGTCCTTATCGTAAATTCATTCTGCACTTAGACACACATATACACACGTGCGTTGCTAATCAGCCGTTTGACTCGGCAGGGAGCGGCCCCTCTCGATTCCACGGTATTACGCGAGTACTTCGGTACGCATAACAGCTCGATACGTGATTGTAATTGATGATAAGTGCAACAATAACAGAGAGAATGTATCCAGTGGACGTCAGCAACGGAAACATATTTTTATCACTCCCTTTGCAATTCAAATTTACCGCCGAAGTGATCCGCCAATCGCGTGACGGGCTGACGCCATTCTGTGGAGAGTTTCAGGAACTCCATTTTGAACAAAAAAAAAAATTGTTCTACCTCAATGAGGGGTCTATCGAGATTATTATTATTATGAAATTATTATCGTTGGATTTTTATTTATTATTAAACAATTATTAGTATGAAATTAATAATGAGTGATAAAAAAATTTGGTAAATCTAGGGAATTCTTCGGAAGTTGCCATATTTTTTCACTATTAAAGAAAAATTACAATTCCTTTTTTTTAACTTGATGCCCAAAATTTGGGAACAAAAATTTTTTTGGATTTGTTTTTCTTTTTAGAGCATTTCTTAACCTTCCCAGCTTTCTACTCCACATCGCCATATACGGCGGCGAATTTCTGAATGACTCGACGATTATTTCCAAGTAAAACCAATCGTTCGTGCCGTGAACTTGGTCAGAGAGAGAGAAAGAAAGAGAGTGAGAAAAAAAAAACCAATTGAATACAACTACGTCTGCGGGGCACACACGAGAGATCGGTATGAGTCACTCGACCGTCGGGTGACGAAGAGACACCGCTAGTTTGTTTAATTTAGTAAAAATATTTCTCTGCCTCTTCGTCATGAAAAAAATCTACAAAAAAAGCAATTAAGATTGAAAAAAAAAATTGCGTCTTTTATCGAGCCTCGATACTATTGCACGTAATACCGATCATTCCTGTCCTTCCATTCCGCAGTAATAAATAAATAATATCAATTATTAGATCAATTTATTTTAATGAACATTTTTTTTATTGTCATTTTTCTCATCACGATGTACCGAAAAGTAACTTTTCACTCACTTTCACCTCCCACACGCCAAAAATCACTTTTCCGCACTTGTTACGAAAAAAAAAAAATTTTATAACCGCAGATTTCTCTAATGACCTTTTTCTGAAGATAGAATTAGTGGCATTCAATGATCCACAGGTAATTGATTAATTATTATTACTGATGATAAATAAACAAGAAAAATCGTTATCATATCCGCCAACGGCGGAGTCATCGCGTCCCATGATGCCACTTCCGGTATTACTTAAACTCTGGCACCTCCAGTCGTTACGAATTTTCTCACTTTTTTTTTTCTTCTCTCGCGCGATAAAAAAACGAGTGAATCATCACTCGCGGGACTGAAGGAATTTATTCTCCGATCACAGCTGATTCGAGCGTCAGTCGGTCGATGCTAGTCGCCGGGATAACACGTACCTCCGATCGCATACCGGTATGAGGAAAAATATTAAATAACAGAGTAATTAAAAATATTTTTCAATTAAAAAATTGTCAAACAAAATTTTTCTTCCACTCATAACAACCGATTATTACAGATTAATCGATTTTTGTTTTTATCGCGGTGAAAGTGACGTGACTTCCTACCGGAAGTTGTGGAGATCCGGTGGAAGTGATTCGAATTATTGATTTATTTCTCATGCATGAGATCCGTGAATGATTGGTGAATTTTGGATTTTATTTTAGAAAGTTTACGGCAATTTTCACTCTTGTTTTTTGTGGAATTGAATGAATGAAGGAGATGGAGGGGGGCGTCCACGGGCGCCGGGTACATGGGCTCAGGCGGGAATTTTTTAAACCTGTAAGTTTTTTTTATTTCTTTGAAAATCAGAATCAAATGAAAATTTCCCCAGAATTCGTGTTAAATTTCCACCAGTCAAATTAAAAATCGAAAAATTCTCATGTAAGCCTTCGATTTTTTTTTTGTATTTACATGAAATTTTCACAGAAACACGGTAAAAATTACGTATGCACTTATTTCTTAGGAATTTTCATAATTTATTGCATTTCTCGCATCGATTCGACATCCGCAGATTTCCAAATTATTTATTGTTGCAATAATTTATATCTCTTCGATGTATCTCTCCCTTTTTTTCTCCCATCAATCTTTCATTCTGATTCGTACCATCCCCGTATTATCATCGGTTTTTTATATTTTTATGGTAAATGTAATTTGATTTTAAGTCATAAATAATAATAAATAATAATTTCTGTCGGTGAATTTTTTGTCGTGTGTCTCTGTTGTAAAAACGAACACCTTCGACTCATCTCTTCGTTCCCTTTCATTGCATACCAACCGAACAGCATTCCACATTGTCCGTTCCAAAGGCCAACGTCTTTCATTCTCAATTGAAACGAAAATCAAAGTGTTATAATAATTTTTCGCCATTTTCCCCGTCATGCTGTCATCGTTGCGTTTTAATCCTGGAATTTTCCGGTCGGCAAAATTCAATTCCAATTCCTCTCCAATTATATTTTACAGTAGTTTCGAAAGAAAGTTTATATTTTTGCAATGATAAAATATAAGACAAACAGTTTTAGGGAGTGGAATAATTTTTTTACATTAAAATGAAAATTATAATATTTTTATAATAATTATCATTGAATTTTAATGGTGGATTTTTAAAATAGAAAATTAATATTCAGCAATACGGAATACAATCTCATTTGTTTATACATAATTCAGTGCATTATCAAAAAATAAATGGATAAATCAATTGCAAAAATGTGCATTGAGAATTTTTTTCAAATTTTCAACAAAAAAGAAAAGGATTTCTAAAAAAAAAACACTATAATTTTCATCTATTTTATTATAAATCATAAAAATGAATTCTTCTATTTTTATTCATATTCCCAAATATTTATAAACAATATGACTAATTTTTAACAATGACTCATAAATAAAAAAAAAATGTAAAATTAATAAATTCGAGATGGAGTGATTATTTTCAAATTTCCGAGAGAAAAAAAAATCGCCGGCAGGAAAAATATTATTTACCGTAATAACGAGTACATCCCCCACTCCTTGCTCCGACTATTACCTAATATAAAGTTGCCAGTCTCACCGCCACGTGGAGTGCGGCGTGCGCATCGTCAGTGAAAAAATAAAAAAAAAAATAAAAAATCGCGAGTGAACACGCGCCCAGTGTTGTCAGTGCCGCCTTGGATGTCGGTTCGATTTTATCGTGTTATTGGCACACACACGCAACGAAATCCCCACGTTTTAACAGCGATAAGTGTGTCTAACCTCCGGGAGTGCAGATTTCCCTAATGGAGGTACTCGGTATGATAAAAAAAATTATATGACTGAGGACATGTCGCGGAAAGGGATTGGGGGAGAGCATCCGGAAGTGTGTCAAGGTCCTGGCTCTATGAAGGCATTCAACAGTGACAGTTGATTTATTTTTTTTATTATTTCTTTTTCAATTTTAAAATTGAGTTGAAGACAGCGGGTGGAGGGTCCAGAGACACCCCGGAAGGGATGGTAATGAGAATATATTTTAAAGAATTTTTCCCAATTGGAGTATGGGTATAAGTGAATAAATAAATCAAGTAACTCACTCAAACAAATTTTATTAAATATTCTTTATTAACTCGAGGGAGGCACGTCTTCACTTGACCGTTCTCCAGAGACTAAAAAATAAAATAAACTCTCGGGGAAACCAAAAACAGAAAGACGATTTTATGACTCAAAAGGAGTCCTTTGTTGAAATTTCAGTATATGTTTAGGATTAAACCGCTCTAGAGTGCGTAGTACAACCGATCGTAAATTAGTCCCTTAGCAGAGTTGTTTCCTTGAATGTTGTAGGTTGATGTCGAGTGATTTTTGGAGGACAATGAAAGAACTGTTCTCAAATATTCCGACATTCCTCAATATTTCTTCTATCTTCTATCTATTATCTATAGACAATAAAACGAAAATTATTTCCATAATGTTTTTTAATTCATTTTCATGTATGGAAATTAGGAATTTATTCTGGAGTTTCTCTAAAATTTTTGGGAATTATCAGCGAGGAGGGAGTGGGAGAGAAAATTACGGTTTTACCCCGGAAATTTTCTCGTTCTGACAAAACTTTCAGTCTGCTCCTGGGAATTATTCCCAAAATATTCAAACTTTACCACCTAAATATGGAATAAATTTAATTTAACGACTATTTCTTCATTTCGGAAACGGTTTATACCTTCGATCGTTTGAGTGACAAATAAAGGCCGCCGGTTCGGTTTGTGTGGGCAGCCACCCATGACGTAAAAAATAAAGTTGACACTTCTCGTTAATTTTACGATTTTTTTCCCAATTTTTATGGTCCGTCAGAGAAAGAGAGAGAGAGAGAGAGAGAGAGAGAGAGAGGCAGTGGAATCATAAATCGACAATGAGTCAATTGTCGACATTTCCATAAACATCTCGATAATGAGAAAGCCATGAAAAAATTATCAAATGAATTTTGTGCGGGAAATGCGATTCTGCGCGCAAATTTTATGCGCCGGTTTCCCCTAGGATCACACCCTCTCCGGGAATCCCCCATTTACAGCTGTTGTTTTACCTCAAATTCCAATAACGTTTTTTTAATTTTGTTTGTCTGTTATTAATTCCCAGAATGATCGACCGTGTCATAATTTATGCGACATTAAAACCTGCGTCGCGCGTAGTTTTCTCTCTCCGTTCCCTTTTAGTGATGAATGTCAATGAGAAAAAAAATTGTTCATGCGATTATGCTCTGGCAAATGATTTTTTATTTCAAGTGGGAGGGGGTGTGTGGGCGAGAGACAAGTCTGACCGCCTGTGACTCCATCCAATGAAACAGAAAAGTTGATTATATTATTTTTCGAAATTAATAATCATTTCGAAATTTACCAAGTCCGAAATTCCTGGATTTTTAAAGAATTTACAAAATAATTTATTCGATAATATATAACAATATATTGAATATATTTAATATATTATATAATATATCTTTATATTTATGTTCTTCAATTTCATGTATCATTTATGTTTTTTATTTGAAAAAAATTCAATTAACATTAAAATTAATAAATAAACAAATATTTCTGTATGCATGATTTATGGATATTACCCTGCGTCGGCAAATTATCCATCTTTTTTGTAGACGATGTAATCAAATTAATGAAGAGACAAAAAGGAAGAAAATAAATAATGAGAGTGATGTTTTACTGTTGCCTCGAGAGAGGGAGGCTATAAACTCGCCTTCAATTAATTAGAAAGCCTGATGATAACGAGACTGATGTGTATGATCAACTCATTTATTAATTAGCTGATACACTCGGGGATGTACTCATCGGTGATTGAGGTCAATCAAATTAATTTACTGATTTCAGATGTCGGAATTCCCCGCTGACACAGAGAACGGCGACATGCAGGCGGTGATGGAAAATTTTCAGAAAAAAAATAATTTGGTCAGCGGGAGGTCCCATCACCTCCCACAAGTCACGAGTTCTTCACAGGTAAATTTATTCATCTTTCCAATCTCGTAATGCTTGACAATATAAAAAAAAAATTCTGTTTTTAAATAATTTTTTATCGGAAAAACTTGGGAATGAATGAATTTTTCAGAAAGTTTTGACATCTTCAAATCTTTGATGAAAATAAATTCCTCAAAGAAAATTTCAAGGTTTAACCTATAAAATCCAGGACTACAACGTTTTGCCTGAAAATTCCCTAGAACCACACCCAAAAATTCCTAGCACTTTGACTTTCTTCTGAATATTTTTCGAAGAAATTAATAAAAAATATCATATTATTCAAAACCGAAAATTTTAATAGCTTTTTATAATAAAATCCCAAAACCATGAAAACCTTCAGCAAATGAAAAATATTATTACATTCCCCTTGAAATTCGCAACCATGAATTAATTCTAGAATTCTCACCCAAGAAATCACAAAAAAAATTCCACAAGCGTCGAAAACCTGTCGATTTCCACCGAGAAACACCAATTATCAATTAATCTCCTTATCTCTCCATAAATCACTCGAGAATCGTCATGAAGCTGTTATCACTCCACACTTGTTTCAATTCCCGAGAATTCCCTCCCGCGCCTTAACAAAAACAAGAAGACTATAAAGAGACCGAAAAAAATAATGAGAAACTTCAAGAATAAAATTTCCAAAAATACCCTAGTTCTCGTGAACTCTAAAGTATGACATAACAACCAAAAATAAACGTACGTCATCGTTTTGGGTTGAGTTTTGTCACCTGGATGACTTTCCGCCCGGGAATTCCTCGGATTCCATTAATTTTACTGGCCTACACGAAATTCCGATTATTCTCTTCATTAATTAAAACCGTAATTAACACCCGACATCATACCTCTCTTCAGTCATCCAATTACCTCGTCAATAAATAACTCTCAATAGAAAATATAAATCATATGTTGCTATAATTTTTCAGATGATTTTCGTTAATTTCCCTTAATCTCTCGATATATCGAGGGATTAAACAAAAAAAAAACATTCGTGTCAGAATTTTGATGACAGCATCCGAAAAATATTTTCTCCCAATTTCCCAGGGGTAAATGAATTTCAAACGAATTAATTTTTCGATTCTCAATTGACCTAGGTTTCCCAGGAAATGTTGATTAACTTCAGACATGGGGATTTCCTCTGAAAAATTCATTAAAATCCCGATGCCCTCTACCTTGAAGAGCCCTGGCTGCTCATCAACTCGCCTCACCCTCTGCCAAAATTCTCCCACCCAGTGATCCGAGTGACTCAGAGTTCCTCGACGATTTGGAAATAACCCAAAAATCAAATGAAATAAAAAAGAAACCATCATCCACTTTAACCACCTCAAACATCTAAATTCACTCTACCCAACTCTATTTTTCCCCCAGTTGCTGAATCAGAGTCAGAGTAGCAGCAGCACAAGTAGCACAACAACGAGCAGCAGAGTTGCTAAATCCTCCCAGAGGATTCTAACATCATCATCGTCGAGTGAAATGAAAGCAAGCTCCATGAAGAGTGACTTGACTGAATTAAAAAGAGGAATTTCCGAGATGAAGAATATTTCTACCAAGTTCTCGAGATTGAGAAATAGTATGGAGAATCTCGTTGACAGGTACAGTAATTGAAACGAACCAATAAATCCACTTTTAACCCATTTGTATTTTTTTTAAATAGAGGTTATTTTATTTTTCTTCGAAATTTTTGGCTTGACCGTGGCATTGGATGAATCAGGAAAATCATTGCAAAACAAATAAAAAATTATCCAATTCGCTCCACTAGATCCGGAGAAAATCCCAAATGAAGTTTTATAGATCATTGTTCGATCGCTAGATCACGTTTACATTTTCCGCTGTATCTCGGGTTCTATGGGAGCAAAACAAATGTTTTTTTTTTTGACATGTTGGAAATTTTTCCATTTATGGAATCCAAATGTTTTCGACCTCCCAAGTCCGTTCCATCCCACCGAATTGCCGATTTTTTACAAATTTGAGAACGTCAATTCATGTTTTGGATCATAAAGGCTAGATTTTATGTACACGAATGAGAAAAAAAATTATAACAACACGTTTAATGTATTCTACGGCATCAGGGAGGGGAGTGTCACCGAGGAAGACGACCTGTCAGAGCCCCTGGTGACATTTCCTGATCCAGACACACCTCCACCGGTCTCTGGACCTGGAACTCTGACAGTCGGTTCCCCAACACAACTAGGAACTCTAAATCCCCTCAACAATCTTCACAGCATCACACCGACAATAAATATGTCGACAATCGGTCTGACCGGTGGCCAAGAGACAATGAAATTCGAGCAGAAGAAGATGACGAGTGCCTCGAAGACCAAGGTGAGTTGACACCGAGGTGTGAAGACATCTTTCAGGGAAAAAATTCGGTCGAGTGACGAATGATTGGTATTTTTTACTCAGTCTCGGTCAAGGTCAAAATTAGCAGTCGCCATTGCTGCCAATATTTTGTTTATAATTACTTAATTCAACGTATAATTGCTCAATCAAATAATTTCCAGATTTTCCAAATCCGTAAAAAATTCCAGAATGATCGAGAAACGGATTTCGAGTTTCCATTCAGAAAAATCGATAGGACTTTAAAAATTGAAAATTGTTTTGACTTCAAGGTTGTGACTGATGGATTCAGTGCGGAGAAAGCAACAGCAAACAGCGCAGAGATGCGTGCACTGCAAGCCGGTGATGTATCGTATAAAGAGGAAAGTGCAGCGACCGCTGCACGAGCTCGGGTCGAGGTCGATGGAGTTTCGGCTGAGAAAAGCGTCGCCTCGGCAAGGGTAAGTTGAAACAGAATAAAATAATTCCCCACGGAATCACCGAAAAAGAAACCCCTCAGGGGGAAAAAATGCGGAAAACTGCGGCATTTTCCAAGAAAACACGCGAAATCAAGTGGAATAATCAATGACTCACGTCGCGGTTGCGAGGGGCAACAGATTCTCCCCGGTCGATGAAAATACCCCTAGGAAAAATAACGTAGAGCAGCCCCTAGAGCGCAGTCTAGCGTTTCGCTTCAATGGCGACAGTTCGACCCCGAAAATGGGCTCGAGGTTCACCCGAATACCCCGTGGATTATTACCGGATGTAACATCAAACTCTAAATCATCGAGATCATTGAGTCCGTGTGATCCTAGTAAAGCGGTTCGTAAATCCCCTGCATTTTTCATTTTTTACGTATCACTATTCCATCGACAGATGTTCCACGTTAAAAGATAAATATTGTAATACGTTAAATATTGTTGAAAAAATGTTTGTTATATAAAAAAACGAATATTTTATTAGCCAGTGGGTAGACAAAAAGATTGAATCAAAAACAGAGAGACGAAAAAACCGATTTCTCAAGAAATTCCACGGTCGAACGATGAGAAAAATCGTGAAAAAAAATCGGAAAGCAGAGGAAATAATGTAAAAAGTTATTTACCAACATAATGACGCCTCTTGATAAATATAACGACAACGAAGTGGAAGGGGTGCGTCCACTCATCATCCGATTCACATATCCAGTGCTGGCAGCAACCGACAAATCCTCGGCTCTCGTCCCCATCATTTCATTTAAATCGTTTTAAAATCACAAACATTGAGTCAGTAGCAATGAGTCCACCTTGGCCAGTGCACAAGCGTCTCCAGGCCGTTTTTCCCCACCCCAAGAGTCATCTGGTAATTCTCAACCGACAAAATCCCCATCGATTTTTTAATGAGAAATTGTGTAAAAATAGAAAAAAACAGCCGATCTGGAAATTCGAACTCGTGACGTACCTTCAATTCGAGATCATTCCCGTTTTTTTTCCCCGTTTTTTTTTGCCAGCACGTGCTTTTTTATTTACACTGTCATTAAATATATTCCATCGTTCACGTTAATCTTTATCTTTATCTTAATCTGTGACCTCAGTGTTTTTTGTGGCTGTATGAGGAATTAATTTTGATGGGGAAAGTGATAATTTTGATGGGCAAATAATTATCTGGCGAATTGCGTTTAATTAATTGCTCCATTTTCAGGAGCAAAGGAGTTTGAAGACGAATGATTTGTCTCATCAGGAGAGCAATAATGTCGCGGCGACCAGCATGAAACTACAAAGTGACTCTTTCAGTACAGAAAAGGTAATGATTTAAAAATATGTAAAATCGTCAGGAATGTAATAATAAAATTATCAACGACGTAGATTGTGACAGGAATGCGTTCTGTTTGAGTGGATGTATCTTATCTGCAGTTATATAAAACGATATGAGTATCTGGCAAATGATATTGGCCGCGAATGAAGCACTAAGTAATGCTAATTGGGTGATAATTCACTAGGCTTCATTCACACATTCGGGGAAGTGTAAAAAACGGGGAAATGGGTGGTTTACGTTTCGACCGATGATGCGATAATTCCCGGGAAATCCATGATTTCTGGCTGTTGTTCAACAATTCTGGGGCCAGTTACGCGTTGACTTCGCTCGAGGTAACGCCGATTCTTCAGTTCCTTCTGATTTTTATTTTCGTTTGTTTGGTGTTTTTTTTTTCTGTATTATTCGCGTCTGACGTTCCACGCGTCATTCCCGAGTCGCGAACCCTCGAATTGGATACGCGACGCGTGAGCTGACGATCAGTGGCTATTGATACACTGTGTGAAGAGGAAGTGAAACGGTAGAACATGAGAAAGTGGAGTTTGGACTCGACAATGGTAAATAGCTGAAAATCGATTTGGCCCCTCTTTGAATTTTCGCACTTTGAGTAGAGGATTATTATTCGCGATTGGATGTTTCCTCGGAAATTTTCAGGGCTTTCAAATAACACCAAATTTTTGAAGCTATGATTATTAGTTGTCGAAATATAGGTATTTGAAATTGGATGAAAAATTTGTAGCTTTTGTAATTCCTGGGAGAAGGTTCGAAAACTGCGGAAAATGGGAAGTTAGAATTTTTTCGCGAGACATCGTCGTCTGATTTGATTCCCAAATCCTTTACAAACATCACCTCAACCGATTCCCGATCTCGACCTTTCAGAAAGCGATGGCAGCGCAACAACAGCGCCAAACAGTCACTTCATCCGGCATCTACAATCATGAGAAGCACATGGCGTCGTCTTCGCAATCCTCGATAACAATCGCGAAAGGTGTCACTTCGAAATCATCGATGATAACCGCGGCAAATGCTGTAAATCAGCTTATGAACGGTAAGCGTCCGCAGGAGGAAGAGCTCCTGACGATGCCACTGGATGATTTGGACCACCTCTGTTCATCCTCAAAGCAGTCGGACGTAGACCGTGCCCGGGCCAAATACTCAGGTTTCCTCGACCACTTCGTGGACCGCCTGAAGTCTCTCGAGAATTCCACATCACCGACCGCACCACTCCTCCTAAATCGCGTCAACGATATAATCCGAAAGGCTTGGGCTGTCCCGACACACGGCCACGACCTGGGCTACACTCTCTGTAACACCCTCCGCACGCGCGGTCTCCTGGACCTCCTGGTAACCAACTGCATGGCAACGGACCAGGAGCTGCAATTCTCGTCGGCGCGCTTGCTCGAGCAATGCCTGACAACAGAGAATCGCGCTCACGTGGTGGACCACGGTCTGGAGAAAGTTGTGAATGGTGCATGTGTTTGTATAAAAAATACAAACTCCGTGGACCATTCGCGCGTGGGTACCGGTATCCTTGAGCATCTGTTCAAACACTCCGAAGTCACCTGCAGCGATGTCATCCGCCTCGGTGGTCTCGATTCCGTTCTTTTCGAGTGCCGGAAGAATGACGTCGAAACGCTTCGTCATGTTGCTGGTGCCCTGGCTAATCTGTCGTTGTACGGTGGTGCCGATAACCAGGAGCAAATGATCAAAAGGAAAGTGCCGGTCTGGTTATTTCCCCTGGCCTTTCACAACGACGACAACATCAAGTACTACGCTTGCCTCGCCATCTCCGTTCTGGTCGCAAACAAAGAGATTGAGGCAGCTGTCGAAAAGAGTGGAACTCTCAATCTCGTCGAGCCCTTCGTCACATCTCACAATCCCTATGAATTTGCAAAGTCAAATCTTGCGCATGCTCATGGACAATCGAAAAATTGGTTGGAGCGTCTGGTACCGGTTTTATCATCGAAACGGGAGGAGGCACGTGCCCTCGCTGCGTTTCACTTCTGTATGGAGGCGGGTATAAAGCAACAGCAGGGAAACGAAGAGATATTCAAAGAAATTGGGGCAATTGAGCCCCTGAAGAAGGTAGCAAGCTGTCCAAATGCCGTTGCGTCGAAGTACGCTGCCCAAGCTTTGAGGCTGATTGGTGAGGAGATACCGCACAAGTTGAGCCAGCAAGTGCCCCTGTGGAGTACCGAGGACGTCAGGGAGTGGGTGAAACAGATCGGCTTCACCGAGTATGCGGACAACTTCGTGGAGAGTCGGGTTGATGGAGATCTCCTTCTTCAGCTCACCGAGGAGAATCTTAAGGAGGACATCGGTTTGACCAATGGCATAAGGCGGAGGAGATTCACCCGGGAGCTTCAGAATCTCAAACGAATGGCCGATTACAGCAGTCGTGACAATGGCGATCTCAATTCACTTCTTCAGTGTGTCGGGAATGAGTTCTCGATTTACACCTACGGCATGCTCAATGCTGGTGTTGACAGAGAGAATATCAGGAATATCAGTGAGGATCAGCTGCTCACTGAGTGCGGCATCACCAACAGTATTCATAGACTTAGGATCATGGACGCTATCAAGAATAGCCAGCAGAATCAACTAAATTCGTGTGAGAATCAGAGTCCCGACAAGAGTCTGGATGTATTTGTCAGTTATCGACGGAGTAATGGATCTCAATTGGCTAGCCTGCTCAAGGTTCATCTCCAGTTGAGGGGATTCTCCGTTTTTATTGATGTGGAGAGGCTCGAGGCCGGCAAGTTTGATAATAATTTGTTGCAGAGTATTAGACAGGCCAAACACTTTCTACTCGTCTTGACGCCCAAAGCGTTGGACAGGTGTAGTCAAGATAACGAGTGCAAGGATTGGGTACACAGGGAAATTGTCGCGGCACTCCAGTCTCAATGCAATATCATTCCGATTATCGATAACTTCCAATGGCCTGAGCCCGAGGAGCTTCCGGAGGACATGAGGCAGGTCTGTCATTTCAATGGAGTACGATGGATTCATGATTATCAGGATGCGTGCGTGGACAAATTGGAAAGGTTCGTTAATCCAAAAATTTTAATTAACTAGTTGTTAGCGTCTAGGGAATTTTATGTTCTTATTGGATGTATGGGGGTTTTTAATCAGGTTTATGCGAGGGGAACTCCCAGCAGGTACGTCCATGGCCGGTGTACCTAGGGGAATGGTATCCAAGGATGTGACAACTCCTAGCACTCCAGGTAGTGCCAACATGAGACATCCACCTAGTTACCAGAGAATGCACAGCAATGAGAGCCGCGGCAGTGACAAGGACTCATCGGGTGGTAGAGATTGACTAGAAGGCCCCCCCACAGCTATTCCAAACAGGTGAGATCTTTTTCTTCATCGCTCGAATTGATTCATTTTTCATCGCCATCGAAATTCGATAATGAGTTTATATGATAACGAGAATTTGAGTTTTCCTGCCGGAGAGAAAAAATCCGGGGTATCAAATGAAATCATTAGCGTCCGCCCTAACCTCTTCGGAGAATTGACCATAAAAATAATGGTGAAAATATTTTAATTTCATGCAGCACGGGTCAGGAAGACTGAAGCTTCAGCAATCATTTGAAAAAATATTGAATAATAGGTCAGTCAGTTGTGACAACTGTCAATGTGTTCCTTAGCATGATCTGTAGCCCATCGTCCCCTCCAACTGTGGATATAATTCCCTAGAGGGAACAATGTTCGATTTTTTGGGTTTTTTTTTATAGACTGAGGAAGACTTCGAGTCCTGGCTGGCTGATGAGCATCCCGCCAACGTCTCCACGTCTCAAGTTCGTCCACACACATCCTGGAAGGGGTCCAATTCCCCAGAGACCACCCAGGCATCCAACCACGCCCACGAACCGATCAAAATCCCTAGAACTCTTGGACGAACCAGAGAACCTCGAGAAGATCCAGAGGATCTTCACTTCAAGACCTCCACCACTTCCCAGACCTCGCTCCAGGAGTCTAGATGGCCTCCTCGACGATGATCTTCATGAAAAACTCCCAGAAGGTTTGAAAAAATCGGACAATTCCTCAAACGGGAAAAAAATACACAATTCGAATGAAAATTTATTAGATACTCGCCGAATATCCCCGAGTCGGGAAAAAAATCTCCAGGATATCCTCAGAAGGGAAAATTCCCTAGAGAAAATAAAAAATTCAGAAAAAAAACGAAATTCCAGCATTTCTGGAAAAATAGAAATCGAGGAAAATTCTGATAAGAAAAGTGATTCGGAGGAGATGCCTGGGGATATTCTCGGGAGCGAAATTTCTGTAGAAAAAAATTCTGGAGTGGTTGAGCGGACCAGGGAGGGAAAGGGGGAAAAATTGTATCCATTGCCAGTGCCAAGACTGAAAGCTCGACAAATTCGTAGCGAGACAGCTAAAATAGCACAAGAGGAGCATATGAGAATTTCATCCTCCGACGATGATGATACCATTGACTGCTGTGATAAAAATAATGAAAAAATTGATGAGAGATATCCAAATAATTTGGAAATCGATGGAAATTCGGATAAAAAAATATTAGCCAAGGCTAAAAGCTGTGGGGATGGGCTCGACGAGAATGAGTCATTATCTTCTTTCAATGCTAGTGTCAATTCGCTGCACGTTGACAATGAGCAAAGACGCAAACGTAATTTTATGAATAAATGTGTTAGTAAAATGAGATCACTCATTAAAAAATAATGAGTTTAGGATTAATAATTTAATTGGGAAATTTGACGAGGGGTTGATGAACAATTCCGAATTCAGTCGTACTTTTTCATTCTGGTGACTGACAAATTCTTGTATTTTAATTTTTTATTGCAACAAATTAAATCTATTTTTTTTTTGTTAATTTTTAGTTACAAAATTGGAAAATATTTTAGATCACAATAAAAACCCGAGGTATTGTGGAATTTCACCAGAGTATTCTTAGGGATTTTTTTTTGCTGGAGGACGTGCATGGGAATTTTCTCTAGACGAAATTCCCTGGGATTTTTTTAATTACTCCGTTGAATGTTTTGTTAGTGTTATTTTTACATGTTGAGTATTAATGTGTGGATATGAATTTTGAAAGGTAAGGGTTATCGAAAAAATGTATGAAAAATGTAAAAAAATATGAAATGTTGAAAAAACCCCTCGTGATAAAAATGGCAGCCAGACTATGTAACAATTGTGCCTGAATCGTGTCTTAAATTAAAATATTACTTGTTCATTTCATACTATTATGTCGCAATTTTATATTTTATTTTTATGACAATCTAAATAACATGAGGTGCTTTTTATTTATATATAATTGTAAACAGATATTTTTCCCCTACTACTGGGAATGTATTATAGCCATTGTCATAATCGTAAATTAATTTTCAAGAATCCGACTCTTTCGGTATAAATAGAACCCGAAATTTGGTTTATTATTGAAGTGATCGATTCGTTAAATCCCATTTATGAAAATTTACTATGCAATTCTAATTGATTAATTGACCACACAAAAAGAGTAATATTTCACATTAGACTTATGATTACCCCGTTAAATTGTACATTTTAATCAACGATTGTAATTAGTCCTTACGTTTATCTCGTACTTCGTCAGAGACTTGTTCTTTTTTTGTCGATTGAATTTTTATTATCGATTGATTTTTATTTTTACCAAAGTTGATGAGAAAATAAAGAAAAAGTTAGTTAATAAAATTGTACTGATTCATTTCCGTTCACAATTCTAGCTCCTGAATATCCACCGATTCATCTATCGAATTTAAATTAAAAAGATCAAATTTCGTTGAATATATAATAATATATACTGCAAATGATTTAAAATAAAAAATAAAATATGTAAAATATATTGAATACGAAAAATATATTTTTCGTTATTATTGAAAATTTTATTTATCGAATAATTTTTTTTTTATTTTGCATTTTGCATGCCTCGAAATTTCGCGATTCGGACAGTTAAATAATTTTCGAAATCCGACGATTTGAATCAAAGATAGGGGATTTCCCGCCGCGAGGAATGGCTACATGAAAACCGCATGGCAGAACTGAACAAATCGTTTCCTAGAAATCCGCTCACTCCCGGTGTCCATCAGTAAATATGGCGGATGCCGAGGTGAGTACTCACGTGGAATAGCTTAAATTTCAAAATAAAATTCGTGCATAAATAAAATAAATTGAAAATTCATTCCACCTGCAGCTGTCAAGAGCCCTCAGGGATTTACCGAATCGTGTGCAAACGTCGAGTAAAAAGGAGAGACAGGAAATCATCCAGAATGTCATCAGTGTGTTGTCAAACCCAGGTATGTCTACAAAACGTGAAATAAAAAGCTTTAAAAAATCTGGGAGTGTTTATCACACATGACAAATGGAATTCCAGCAACTAGAATAGACTCCCTATTTTTTTTTTCACAACCCCGAGTGATTCACTGCTGGCAGGGATTTTTAATTTTTAATTTTCTCCTTTAAGGACTCAATGAGAAAATTGTCAGTGGAATATGCAAGGTTGTATCGATCACTCTTCATCGATATAAGGACACAGCCTCACAGTCTTATGTCAGGAAGTTGATTGTGGAGTTATTGAAGCATCAGCCTGATGCCACTATCAAGGGGATGACTGGGGTGATAATGGAGCAAGCGATCTGGCACCAGAATATCGTACCAACGTGAGTGTTTTCAATTTTTTTTTCTGTGGATTCGAGGGTGGAGTGGTTTTGGGAAGTTTCAAGCGTTTTTTATTGCTTGATGTGAAGAACAATCTAAAAAGTTTCCCTCGTTGAAAAGTTTTAAATTCCATTAAAAAAAAAATGCTGGTTCAGACATTTTTTTTGTTTCACGTTTGACGAAAAACGATTCTCTCAAAATTTATCTTTTCCCCTTCAATGAATTAATATTTTCAATGACACGAAAAACCGAAGTAACAAAATTTAATGCGCATTTGATTTTTAAACGTGCACATCAAATTCGTTCACAAAAGTTAATCCTTACATACCGATACAACAATGACTGCCATCATTTCCATCTTCCCACTCCCTCGAGAAGACATTAAAACAGATGACTAAATGAATTGAATTCTAATTAACATCGACACACCAAAAAAAAATGAAAAAAAAAATGCCGCCAATCTATTCCATCATACCACTTCACCGCCACTGCAATTCTAAAAAATAATTTCTATCATCATCATCCCGGTGAACGTGAAACTTTATCTTTCAGCTGTAATACATCGTTGACAGCGTACCAAGCCCTAAAATGGTCCGCGCTGACCCTATCCGCCCTCTCGAAAACGTCTACCTACGCGACTTCCCCTGACCTCCCAAAACTGGTAGAATCCCAGGCACTCCTCTCAGCTGCCTCATTAGCCTGTGCCCCTCGCCCTCTCCCTCCAAAAATAACAACCCTCCTGACCCATGTCTGGTCCACCCTGACTCGTGCGCAGCTACAAACCTTCACCGAAACCTTAATAAACCTTCCGCCCTCACCAGGTCAAATAGTCCTAGCAAGTTTTCTCACGAGCCATTTAATAACCTCTGACAACACCTCGCTCGCGGATACTCTGAAGCCCCCGATAATAGCGACGTTAATAAAAACGACAATAAGCAGTAAAACGAAACCTGACCCTCATTTACTATCATCCGTTTCGCCCTTTCTAAAACGCTTGACGCCCGACGACTTCAAGTCGCAGATCCTCCCAGCCCTTCAGAAAGCAATGCTCCGCAATCCAGAAATAATAATCGAGTCCGTCGGTCAAATTCTATCGCATCTCTCGTTGGACCTTTCGCCATACGCCCTGGATCTCTCGAAGTACCTCTTTGCGAACCTCCATTCAAAAGAGAATTCGGTTCGCTCCGAGGCAGTCCGCGCTTGCAAAGAACTCTCTTTGAAATGCTCGGACCCGAAGAGCCTGGAGTCCCTGCTCTCTTCCCTTTTCGCAATTTTCCACGGTTCGGAGGGCAAACTGACCCTCGCCGATCACAAGATTTCAGTGCTGGAAGGCGCAGGCAACCTAAGCTACAATTCCGCGAGTGCCAGCGCCGCGGAACACCTTGCCGAATCCGCCATGAAGCATTTCATCGAAGTTCTGGACACTGAAGTCCATGAAAAAACCTCAATTCACGCACTGGAGATGCTCGGTCTCTGGTGCACGAAATTCACAGCGGAACCTCCGGGGATCCTCCTCGAGGCCTTCAAGAAGGGCGTCAATGCAAAGTCGGTGACGCCTGGAACAAGAACCGCGTATTTCAAGATTTTGTTCCATCTGCCAATCGTTGGGACATCTTCGACAATCACTCCGATCTTATCACAAGCGATTACGCGTGCTGTCCAACAGGCGGCGCAACCGTCCGCCGTCACCGAGGGCCTGATTGCGTCTCACCTTTTGCTGAAGCTTGTTATCGCGGGACAAGTGGAGACCGACAAACAGAGCGTCCTCTGGTCGTCGATCGATGACCAGATCTTCTTCTCGGACAAATACCTGGCGTCTCTCAGCGATGAGGAGACCGTCTATCATCTGATGCAATTTTGCATGCTTCTGATAACTGAATATTCAGATAAATTGAACGGAAAATCATTGAGCGCCGTTTATCACGCCGTAATCATCTGCCTCGTCTCCCCTAGCTCGACAACGCGCAAGAAGTGTGCGTCATTGATGACGAATCTATTCAAGAAACTGAGCACCTACGAACCGGCGCTCAATCTCATCAAAGAGTTTAACAGGTACGCAAGTCTCGAGAAAGAATGCAAAGAAGACAATGCAGCCAATGAAGCGAATGGACGTGCTCTCGCCGATGGTCTTCTTGCTATCTGCTCCGCAACATTCCTCTACGAATCTTCAGCCCTCAAACTCGTTGGAGACGCACTCATCCCCGCACATCATCCAATTATTCTAAAATCCGTACCAAATCTGTGGACGAAGATCTGTAAGCATCATAAGCTGACACCGGAAGGCTTCTTCAGCAGCTACGGAAATGAGATTCAACGGAATTTCATCGATAACTATGAGCCAACGCCATCGTACGAGAATTCTCTATCCACTATCGTAAAACATTCTGAGAAGATTGTCCCGGCGTTGGTTAAACGAGTAACCAAAGACCTTGACGATCCAGAAATCACGAAAGTCACGAAAGACGAGTACTTCACGTACCTCACGCCAGAGGGAGAGCTCTACGACAAGTCCGTACTACCGGGAACCGATGAGAACGACATTCTCAACTCCATGAACATGAAGCGCGAGTCAAAAGTCTATTCTTTTAAGGAGCAGCAGGAGGAGCTCCAACTACGTCGCGAGTTATACGAGAAGCGTAAACGCGAAGGAAAAATAAAAGAGCAAAAACTTACTCCGAAGCAGGAGGAAGCGATCAAAGCGCAGGTAGCGCGTGAAAATGCTATCAGAAGAAGACTGAAAGATCTCAACGACAAAATCACGACGGCAGTGTCAATGGTGACGGCTGGAGTTGATGGTAATTCCTTTGCGATGTGTCTGCATTTCCGGGATCTTTTGCCGAGTATTCTAAGGAATTTGGTTAGCCCCCTCGCCGCACCAATAGTCACTAAACTGTATCTGGATCTCAGTCAAACTCTTCAAGTCGATGATCAGGGCTTGATAAAACTGGTCGGACACGTTACCTTAAGACAACTGAACCCCCAGTGTGATCTGGATCCGGCGTGGGAGGAGGAGGATTTGGAGAAGGCCATCAAAAGAACTCTGAACTGTCTCCACAGCACCACTGTCAAAGAGAAGAAGCTACTGAATGCCCCCGCTTTTTGTTACGTCTTTTCTTTCATCTCACGAACACTCACAACCTCGCATGATGAGGGAATTCTCACACAGGGGCTGCAAATCATTCAGGAACATGCTAAGCAACGAGCTGATTTCGATGATGGAAGGGATCCGAAGCATCCGCGACTGCTTCCTAGACGACAGATGCTGGATCTTCTGATCGAACTGATGAGCAACACTTCTGGACGAGTTCAATTTCACGCTTTCCTCGATGTCGCTCACTCGGGGAGCGGCGAAGTAGGTGAAAATGGGAAACAGACGGCTTTAGCTCAGGCCAACGAGATCGATTCACTTATCAGTGCATTGGAGAATCCAGCGGCATCTGTCCGTGATGCGGCTTTACGAGCCCTCATGATCGTCAAGAAGAGTTTTCCCACGGAAAAGACTGATTATGATCAGCTGCTGCGACTTACACGATGGCTATGGATCTCCAAGTTCGATGTCTGCGATGAGAACAAAGTCCTTGCGAATGATATTTGGGTGACCGTGGGTTTCTCATCATCAAATGGTGAGATTCTATGTGAAGAACTGATTCAAGACGTTGCGCATCCAGTTGAGCCTATCCAGCAAGCAGTGGCTCATGCCCTAGCGAATCTTCTGGAGTCAAATCCTCATCTCCTTCCGGCTATTCTGGATAGCCTATTGAAGCTGTATCAGGAGAAGCTAGCGATGATTCCACCGAAGTTGAATGACTTCGGCCGAGTGGTTGAACAACCCGTGGACATCTGGGGCCCTCGAAGAGGTGTGGCTTTAGCTCTGGCCCAGCTGGCGCCATTGCTAACTCCAGAAACAATTAATCCACTCATCCAGTTCTTCGTGTCAACGGGGTTGGGAGATAGAAACTCGTCAGTCCGTCAGGAAATGCTGACAGCAGCACTGGCAGCTGTGGATCTTCACGGAAAAGCAAACATAACCTCACTTCTGCCTGTCTTCGAGGACTTTATGGATAAGGCACCGAAAATCGGAAGTTTTGACTCAATAAAGCAATCCGTTGTCATTCTCATGGGATCTCTCGCTCGTCATCTTGACAAAGATGATACCAGGATCAAGCCTATCGTGGTGCGTCTCATTTCAGCCTTGGCCACTCCGTCCCAACAAGTCCAGGAAGCTGTAGCTAACTGTCTTCCACATCTGGTGCCCTCCATCAAAGATGAGGCTCCCAAAATTGTTGATAAACTCATGGATCAGCTCTTGAAATCCGATAAATACGGAGAACGGAAGGGTGCGGCTTACGGACTTGCGGGCATCATCAAGGGAATGGGAATTCTTGCTTTAAAACAACTGGACATCATGACAACACTGACCAACGCCATTCAAGATAAGAAGAACTACAGACACAGAGAGGGCGCTCTATTTGCATTTGAAATGCTGTGCACCATGTTGGGGAGGCTTTTTGAACCATACATCGTTCACGTTCTACCGCATCTGCTACTCTGCTTCGGTGATTCATCCCAATACGTTCGAGCCGCAACTGACGACACGGCAAGGGTAGTCATGTCGAAGCTGTCGGCCCACGGAGTGAAGCTGGTGTTACCCTCTCTGCTGGCCGCCCTTGAGGAGGACTCCTGGAGAACAAAGACAGGATCTGTTGAACTCCTTGGGGCTATGGCATACTGCGCACCAAAGCAACTGAGCAGCTGTCTCCCCAGCATCGTTCCCAAGCTAATTGAAGTTCTCTCCGACTCTCATACAAAGGTCCAGGAGGCGGGGGCTGAGGCCCTTAAGGTCATTGGCTCCGTTATTAGAAATCCAGAAATCCAAGCGATCGTTCCGGTTCTGCTGAAAGCACTTCAGGATCCCTCTCGCAAGACTGCCACCTGCTTACAAACTCTTTTGGACACACAGTTTGTCCACTTCATTGACGCACCATCACTAGCCTTGATCATGCCGGTTGTCCAGCGTGCTTTTATGGATAGATCCACGGAGACAAGAAAAATGGCGGCGCAGATCATCGGTAACATGTACTCGTTGACAGACCAGAAGGATCTAACGCCGTATTTACCGACGATTATCCCCGGATTGAAAATGAGTCTGTTGGATCCTGTGCCAGAGGTCAGAAGCGTCTCCGCGAGAGCGTTAGGCGCCATGGTTCGGGGAATGGGTGAATCAAGCTTTGAAGATCTTCTCCCATGGTTGATGCAGACGCTGACATCGGAGACCAGCTCGGTGGACAGATCTGGCGCGGCCCAGGGGCTGTCTGAGGTCGTTAGGGGACTCGGTGTAGAGAAGCTGCATAAGCTTATGCCTGAGATCATCAGCACAGCTGAAAGAACGGATATCGCACCTCACGTCAAGGACGGCTACATCATGATGTTCATCTACATGCCAAGTGCATTCACATCAGAGTTCACACCGTACATCGGACAGATAATTAATCCTATCCTGAAGGCATTGGCAGATGAGAATGAATATGTTCGGGAAACGGCACTGAGGGCAGGACAAAGAATCGTCACGCTGTACGCGGATTCTGCAATTATGTTGTTATTGCCGGAGCTGGAGAAGGGTCTGTTCGACGACAATTGGAGGATTCGATATTCATCAGTGCAGCTGTTGGGAGACCTGCTGTACAGGATCTCTGGTGTATCCGGAAAAATGTCAACGGAGACAGCTAGTGAGGACGATAATTTCGGGACAGAGCAATCACATTTAGCGATTATCAAGGCTCTTGGTGCAGAGAGAAGAAATCGAGTTCTTGCTGGGCTCTACATGGGACGATCTGATGTCGCCCTGATGGTGAGACAAGCTGCCCTACACGTGTGGAAGGTCGTCGTCACAAACACCCCGAGAACGCTTCGAGAGATTCTTCCCACGCTGTTTAGTCTTCTGTTGGGTTGCCTCGCCTCGACCAGCTATGACAAGCGACAGGTGGCAGCAAGGACCCTCGGAGACCTAGTGAGAAAACTTGGGGAGAGAGTGCTACCCGAGATCATTCCCATCCTTGAGCGAGGACTCCAGAGTGATCAAGCCGATCAACGCCAGGGCGTCTGCATCGGCCTCTCCGAAATTATGGCAAGCACAAGCAAGGATATGGTTCTTACGTTCGTCAACAGCTTGGTGCCGACCGTAAGAAAAGCCCTCTGTGATCCACTACCTGAAGTCAGACAAGCTGCAGCCAAAACCTTCGACAGTCTTCATTCCACCGTTGGTGTGCGTGCTCTAGATGACATCCTGCCCACTATGCTGCAACAGTTGAACTCTAAAGACCCAGCGATCGCGGAAAATACATTAGATGGACTCAGACAAGTCATGGCAATTAAATCGCGAGTTGTTCTGCCATACCTTGTGCCACAGCTGACATCACCACCGGTGAATACAAAGGCTCTTTCTATTCTCGCTAGTGTGGCTGGCGAGGCTCTCACTCGTTTCCTTCACAAAATCCTTCCAGCCTTGCTCACAGCCCTCTCCACCTCTCAAGGGACTCCTTCCGAGCTCCAGGAGCTAGAATATTGCCAGACCGTGGTGCTCTCCATCACCGATGAGGCTGGTGTCCGTACGGTAATGGATCAACTGATGGAAGCCACCAAATCCGAGGATGTATCTCGTCGTCGAGGAGCTGCGACGCTTCTCTGCGCCTTCTGTCGAGACTCCCGCGCTGATTACTCACAATATGTTCCGCAGCTGTTGAGGGGGCTCATTCATCTCTTCACGGACGATGACAAGGAGGTCCTTCAGAAGAGCTGGGAGGCATTGTCGGCGGTCACGAAGACTCTGGAGTCAGACCAACAGATTGCCCATTTAGGGGATATTAGACAGGCGGTTCGTTTCGCTGTTTCCGATCTCAAGGGGCAGGAGCTACTACCAGGATTCTGTCTGCCGAAGGGTATCACACCAATTCTCCCCATCTTCAGGGAAGCCATCTTGAACGGTCTGCCGGAAGCGAAGGAAGCGGCAGCCCAAGGACTTGGAGAAGTAATAAAGCTCACGAGTGCAACTGCCCTTCAACCATCTGTCGTTCACATCACAGGACCCCTCATCCGAATTCTCGGGGACCGATTCAACTGGTCCGTCAAGGCTGCTGTTCTCGAGACCCTTGCTATATTACTCGGCAAGGTTGGAGTTATGTTGAAGCAGTTCCTTCCTCAGCTTCAGACAACCTTCCTGAAGGCACTCAATGACAATAATCGACAGGTCAGACTGAAAGCTGCTTTTGCATTGAGCAATCTCATTGTCATACACACGAGGGTCGATCCTCTGTTCGCTGAACTCCATACCGGAATCAAGAGCACTGATGATCCGGGAGTTCGGGAGACCATGCTGCAGGCGTTAAGAGGAGTGTTGACACCGGCTGGGGATAAAATGACGGAGACCATGAGAAAACAGGTGTTCCTCACGCTTAGTGGAATGCTCGGTCATTCAGAGGATACCACCAGGAGTGCTGTGGCTGGATGCTATGGAGCTCTGATCAGGTGAGTGGGGATTTCCTTTCGTTCAGCAAAATTGTCTCAAAAAATATTTCAAATGGAATGGCAAATGATGTTGCATCTTTTCGTGGGCCAACATATGATTGATTTAATCTATTTAAAAATCTAGAACTATATTCACTTTCTCTGAAAGTTGAAATCATGCCTTTGACCATTTCAAGGATAGAAATCAATCGTCAAACCTTCCTCTAGGTCAAAATCACAAATTTGACTTTCACACGCTGTTTGTTTTGTTTTCGCTGTTCTCGTCGTCAGGTGGTTGAGCCCCGATCAATTGAATTCAGCATTTACTAGCAATCTCTTGTCAGCCGACGTTAATTGCGACTGGACATTGCGACACGGAAGGACAGCGGCCCTTTTCGTTGCCCTCAAAGAAGCTCCCCAGGTAGTCTACACACCCAAGGAGCAGGAGAGGGTGTGCAAATTGATTTTAGGATGTCTGGCTGCTGATAAGGTTCAGATCGTGATGAATGGCATTCGCGCCTGCGGCTATCTCTTTCAGCACCTCATGATCGAGGGTGAAACCATTCCCCAGGGTGTTCTCGGGCCCTTCGTCAGGTGCATGAATAACAACAGCAATGAGGTCAAACAGCTCATGGCTAGGGTTTGCATACATCTCGCAAGAAATGTTCCCAGTGATAAAATGTCGTTGGAACTCATGAAGGCTATTTTACCCATGCTGGTGAATGGAACGAAGGAAAAAAATGGTTATGTCAAGGCTAATAGTGAATTAGCCCTCATCGCGGTACTCAGGCTCAAGCAAGGGGAAGAGGATCATCAGGTGATTCATTGAAATCAAATATATATCAATTAATGATGAATTATTCATTTCTAAAATTTGCCGTTTTACTCTTGTCTCTTAGATCAAATGGAGTAATCTATTGAATTGATGATGATTGATTAATTAATAATTGATTGGGATTTTTTTTTCTTCTTTGCAGCGTTATATGGCCCTACTGGACGCAGGTGCGAGAGAATCATTGGCAGATGTTGTGAGCAAAGTCCTCAGAAAAGTTTTATCCCAACCCGAGGGAAAGATCGAGGAATTGGATGATACATTACTCACCTGAGAGATAATAACAAACTCGAGGCTCAAGAGACCGAAAAAAACACGATTAAAATATAAATGCCGTGCAGTAATTGTTCAAGTCATAAGATTGTTGATAATTCCATTGGAATTGCTCAATTATCCAATTATCAAAATTAATCGTACTAAATTTATTCCAAAGAGAGTCATAGAGAGGATAAATATTCATTGTTTATACTTTTCCATTAATTGTTCAATGAATTATCTAGGGAATTATTTAATTAATGAGAGTAGAAGATTGGAAAAGTGGAAAGGTAAGGAAATTTTAAATTTTTTTTTGTTGCACTTGTGACATTCGTTTGATCAATTAATTATATTAATTGATTGGGTTGATTTTCTCAGTTGATTTGTTAATTTTCTAGATCAGTTTTCATGTTGATAGGTCGTTTAATATTTTTTTTTCCATTCATTAATTGAGTAATTAGGATTTTTGCACTTTTTATAAAGCAATTTTTTCATTTTGTACATTAAAAAATTAATGGAAAAGGTGACAAATCATGGGTTTTCGGGGATAATTACAGATGAGCCTCGGGGGTGAGTGAAAATCATTCTCATTAATATTCAACACTTTTTTTAATATTTGTAAAACGGTACTACGTCACTGTAATTCATGTGTAATTGAATATTTGTGAATTAGTTGAAGTATTAATGAGAGATAAACCATTTGTTATACTTTGTGAGAGTGGAAAATTGATTGAGAGTCATATTATACATAATAGGATAATGTCAGATACTGTTGGTCATTATTTCCCCCTCCAAAAATCGCAGTTTCATAATTTCCGATAAAATCGAAGAAATCATCATCGAGAGCAGAATCCAGATCGATATAATGTATTTTTTGTGGAGAGAATTAACTGTAATTTCCGTAATATTGTTTTTTTACTATTATTTTATTTTTTGTTCTTTAAAAAAAAGAAAAAATGGATAATTATTTTTTTGATACATTCCAAGAGAGGAGAAATATGTATAAACGAGTAAAAAACATCCGTTGCCTTCCATATTGTTCAAATACACGTGTAAAATGTTTAGAGGGTGTTTGAAAAATCCCAACAACGAGTGAATCCTAAACATATAAAAAATAAATACAGATAAGAATTTTTTTATGTGACTGCGGTGGTCCTCTCGAGGGCGTCTGACACCAGCTGACACGTGTAGAAGTACTAAACAAGTCCAAATGTCGGGAACGACAAATAAACGAAACCGAGTAAATGGTCTGGGCCATGGATGGCCCAAGGGCCACTTAAAGTCCCACCCAAAGGTACTCCAGAGTTTTTGAATAAATACGAAAAACAGGGAATTAACCCCCTGTGAGCCCATTGAAATCCCATTGTCGATGGGATTATGGTATCGTTTACAGTTAATCCGTGAGGCGGTAAGACCCAAGAGGCCCGGATAATGTCCACTTAAGCTGTGGAATACCGCAGGGTAAAACACTGGGGCCTAATGAATTTCGTAATTGTTGATCATGTGTAAACATCTCAGCTCTCGTTATCGAGATCTTCAGGTGGGGTAATCCCAAAAAGGGTATAATCTCACGGAAAACTCACCGGAAGTCGCGCATTCCACCACCGCGCATGGAGGGAATATCACCATCCAATTCAAACATGCGTGAATTATTTAAAAACCCCTGAACCTTAATTAATATTTTTATTTGTAAAAACATGAGTAAAAAAATCATTTATTAACAATTATTTCTCCAAATGTTTTTAATAATATACATGATTCTCTCTATTCCGTAAAAAACGGTGAAATATTCCGCAGGGGACTGGTGCTGGGGAAAAAATGTCACGAGTTGAGAATTTCCGGGTGTCTACAAAAAAGGTCTGCTGACATTTCGGGTAAGACCACTCGTTAACGAGATAATTACGAAAGAGCTGAGAATGCCACGCGATTTTGCTGCAAGAATATATATTTTCAGCGCACGCAAGAATCATTCATCGACAAATTGTTATTTTAAACTCTCGTAATTTATCGTTATTTAATTTAATAATTTATTTTCTTGTAATTTAATTAACAACACTATGATTCAGAAGATCAATTTATTATTGTCATGATTGCTATTATTTTATTATTATTATTATTGTTGTTGTTTTTTTTTGTTGTTTTTTTTGTTGTTATTATTTTTGGAAAATTAATTTTCTAAATGTTCGATATAAACCGATAACCGAAAAAATAGAAAAATTGCAGTTTGCAACCGGAAATAAATATTTCCAGTTCTCCAAGGGTTTCATCTCACTAATTCGACCAATGAGGGAATGTGGGTGGTGCCAGTGTCTCGGCCAATCCCCACGAGGTATTTTAAACTACCGGGGAAAGATCCTTGCGGCTTCCGACGACTTTGAACTCATTGAGAGCACCGACATCGGAGACTAGTAGCTCATCCTCATTTTCACGTTTTTTTTTTCTTCGTTTTGAGTTCAGTTTAAGGTCAACTGGCAGCGGTGAAGGGTCACGGACACTTGTGAATTTTCCGGAGTTTTTCTCTCGATTATTTGATATTATTACGGGAGTCTCTGAGTTCTACGGAGAATTTTCAGTCTTCGGGAAAAGTGAAAGTGAAGTGACTTCCGCGGATTCTGCCCGCGAATGTTGCGCATTTTCCGAATTTTCCGACCACGATTTTCTGGTTTCGAAGGATAAGGGAAATTTTCACGGTGGGAAGGCTGTAATTTATTCGGTTTTTCCGACTGACAATTTTTTTTTGGAGGAAAAGGCGAACAATCGTCGAGGTCGTCAATTTTCCCGTGGATTTTCCGGTGGAATAATTTTCATATTTTTCCGACCCGGAGTTTCTTACTGGGAAAAAGGGTATCGCGAGAATTTTTTTATCCGAAACACAATAACCGTCTGAGTTATCCGATACAATTGTTTTAAAAAAATTTGCCAGCGAATTTTCCAGGGAATTTTCCACGAAATTTTCTTGTGAAAAAAAAATTTTGAAAATTTTATTGCTTGCAAAATTTTGTTCTGGAAATAATTAACGAGAGCATTGGAAGTTCACCAACTTGTTGAATTTTCCGGGGAGTTTTCCACCGACAAAATAATTTTCTAACGAAAATTCGTCATTGGAAAAGAAATTTTTCGGAAAAATCGTTCGCAACGTTGGATGTGAAGACTTGTGATATCGTAAAATGAATTTAGACCTGAGTGGAAATTACTGTGGAAAAGGCGAGAAAATTTTCAACGATTGGAGATTTTTCTCTGGATCCGCAATGACCTTGGGTCGAATGGAGAGTTTTCCGAGGAGCTCTTTGCCGAGTTCTGTAAATGTGCAGTTGAGTAATAGAGGGTTGTGGCGACAGTTCCACGGAGAAACTACAGAGATGATTATCACAAAACTTGGGAGGTAAGAAAACACTGATTGATCGATAATTAACGATGTTTTAAACTGATGAGTCGAAAAGTGAGGACATTAAAAAATAGGTGTAATCGCTACACGTACTCATAAATATGAAATTATCTCACTAGTCACTGCTGTCAGCGAAAAATGCTAAATAACTTTTTTGTTCATTATTTTATTCTCGATAAATAATGTCCTGTACTTACCCCCTCTAAATCCACCCCTTACGGAGATAAATCGATATTTAATGATGACGTCTCATTAAATCCCGTCTTATCCTTCAGCTCGGCGCGAACTATCTTTCATGTAAATTACTCCGTTACGAACAGGTTTCAGAAAAAAAGTTATAAAACCTTTTTTATTACAAAAATAATTATCTACAAAAAATGTTGAATGACATTTTCAATTAAAACCACCCCTTATCGAGATAATTCCGCAGTTTAATGATCATCAAATAATTTTTCTAGATAAAACGTGATTTTTGCGTGCAGTAGATGAACTATAAAATAAATTTGTAAAGATCAAACAATTTTATCCGAAAATCGGTGGAAGGAAAAGTATGAAAGTATTTTTTCTTTTTTTTGCACGCCTGCATGACGACAATTCTCTTAATTACCCTGAGCCCACGTAAACTCACATAGAGATCCGCCGGAGATAAACGGTCATCCTTCAATTTTACCATGCAGTCATCCAAAAAATCAAGCGAGCGAGATGAGAAAGAGGGTCTCTTGACACTCAAGTGTCCCAAGTAAATTTCCAAGTCCGAAGGCGTCTAAAACCCTTGTTTGTCGAGACAGGGTCGCACGACAGTCCGCCGGCGCCTCAAGCTACTTGTCCTCTTTGTCAAAACCATGCCGACACCGACATGGAAACCCCAAAATCCCTTTTTACCTTCACAATGGAAATTATTTTTTTTGTCGCTCACCGAAAACACAAAAAATCCACGGGATTTTCCCTTTTTTCGGTCAAGTGGGTCCTCAGGAAATGGACAAAATTATTTTGTCATTTAGACATGCGGAAGGGCCTTCTGCATTTTTTAGTTTTCCGCCCATTTTTTTATTATACACATTATTAATATTATTATAATTATACATTTTTATATTTTAATATGCATTTTATAAAAATCGCTTTCACGGATTTTTTGCAAACACAATTGACATTTTTATCACATGCATCCGAATTTTTCTTAATTATTGTAATCTAATTATTTAAAAATCGATCAAAATAAATACAAATTGGCATAATAAAAAATTCAAGTCTATTAAATAATATGAAATATTTAAACAAAAAGTCACAACGAATTATCAGCAAAATGTTATCGTGAAAAAATTTCAGAAACGACGGTTTAAAATTTTATCTGACGATCTTCTTTGAAGCCGTCACTCAACCATTTCCTGGGTGTATCCCAGGTACCAATTCCGAATTCCTCACCCTTTCCCGCCCCCCACGAAGTCAATTACCCCCGGAAGAGGTCCAACTCGTGAAAACCCAATTAAAAGCTCGTTAGACCTCGAAAAGTTAAAGAAAATTGGAAACTGTTCTGCCCACAGACGGATGTTCCCCGCCATCCAGGTGTCTATCACTGGACTTGAGCCCCACGTAAAGTACTACGTCCTCCTGGAAATAGCGCCTGCTTCACAGCGGAGGCACAAGTACGTCGGCAATCCAGAAAAAAATACAAATGACGACGTGAAGAGGAAGCACCAGGGGTGGACTGTAGCTGGAAATGCCGAGGTCCAATCACCACCTCATAAGAGACTTTATCTCCATCCGGATAGTCCCGCCACCGGAAAACACTGGGGACAACAGCCCGTCAGCTTCGCCAAATTAAAATTAACAAATAATACCGTCGATCACCATAACAATGTAATTTTTTTATAATCAATTGATGATTGTATTAATTTTTGAACTCTGAAATATTTTCTGATTTTCAGATTTTTTTTAATAAGAAAAATTTGAATTTTTTGTAGATTGTTCTCACATCGATGCATAAATATCTCCCGAAGATCTGGATAATCCAATCGGACGGCTTAGGGAGTATCAGCAACATCTACAGCCAGCCCTCTGCCTGTTTTTCCTTCGAAGAGACGGAGTTCATAGCAGTAACGGCCTACCAGGTAGCTAGAATTAATCATGCGATAACTGCGGTGTCATGGTGGGAATTCCAGTGGAAAAAAAAATCTGTCTCGTTTCCCGTTGGTGGGAGGTTGACGAGACAGATCTCATTGGAAAGCCAGGGAAATTTACCATGGAGACGAGTCCCATGACGGTCCATTTTGCTCCACTGGTTCGCAATCACTGATAAGACCAACAATTCCGACCAATTTTCGACCAATACAGTATTTCTTCAATATCTCAGCAACCACTGGAGCGAATTCGACATGTGACTATATTTTTTAATTGGAAATTTTCTCAGCTTTCCGATGAGATCAACCCCGATCCTCTATCTTCACTGCTATTAGTCATATTACAAAAAAATTTAGCCCAAGTGTTTGTTTTCAGAATGAGAGCATTACAAAGTTGAAAATCGATAACAATCCCTTCGCCAAGGGTTTCCGAGAGACAGGTCATTACCGTTGCAAGAGAAAACTCGAGGAGAGCTCGGAGAACTCTCAGGAGGAGGAGCCGGGTACCCCGGAAACTCCAAAGAACAGCGAAAAAATTGAGAGAATCGAGATCGAAGAGTCAAATGGTGAAAATGCCACTTCAAACCGACCCACACGTTTGCATCGTCCTTGGTGCACCGCCTCTCCATCACCACCACCTAAACCCACGGGAGAAAGTTCATTTCCACCCCCACAAATACCTCAGGTCTTTAATTTCTCGAATACTTCACCTCCCAATGTTTTTTCCCAATTTCATTTCGATCGTCTCAGGTTCTTCCCGAATTTTCCACACAATAATTTTTTTATCAATCACCGATTTCATCGGTAATTATCAATAAATAATTAGTATAGGAAAAATAAAAAACTTTCTCCCGCATTCAATTTTAATTACTCTCATTCACTTTTCCAATCCATTCTTTTTTCGAATCGTTAATTTAAATTTCGAGAGAAAAAGAAAACATTTTCATTAAGTTTAATTGTAATTTTAGTGAAAGGCTAGTGAAGTAACTCGACTTGTGCAATTATGTAAATAAGTGGGTAACAATCTCCAAACGTTGGAAAAATAAATATTTCATATTTTTACGATAAAATTTTCCATATTTTTTTTTGTTTTTTCATGAAGTTTAATGATAATTCATGATAATAGAGGAAAACGGGGCCAGTAGTGACAGGCGTCAGGCCCCAGGGCCTGTGAAGTGGCCAGACGACTAGACTGAAGGACGACTGGGGCCTTCTGTTCGTGTAATAGACAACTGACGCCAGTACTTGAGTGAAAATCACTTGAAAATCCTCAGAAGTCATTTTCTCCCTGAAAATCATTGAAAACACTTATAATACAAGAGCTCCAAAATTATCTGATATTTTCCACTTTTCATTCGTTCGGTTCGTTGCACATCACTGAACATATCAAGTTTTCCAAATAAAAAAATAATTTTTCTGGAAAAGTTAACAAGCCCCTTGACAGGTAATTATTTACTAAATGAAAATATTCAATTAATTCTGAAGCTCGAGTTGTTGTCGGGGATTATTTATTATTTATTATTTTTTCGTTAAAATTTCAGTCGATAGAATTGCACCATGAGACGCGGTTTATATTTAACATGTGTATTGTTTATCATTTGTCGCAAATAATAATTATTATCAATCTTACATATTCTTAAAACTAATCAACATCAGCTGTAATAAATACGACACGTATCGTAACTAACGGTGCGAGTCCGTTATACCTGAATCACTTGAATATTAACCAGTGGAATGTGATCGTGACGAAATTATTAATGATAAGTCAATGACAGCTGTCTCAAGAATCTATTCAGCGATCATGCAAATCGACAGAAAGGATAGTTAGGGATATTTCCGGTGGAGAACGCACGCCTCGAGATCTTTTATCTCTTCAACTTTTCGATGAATCGGAGGAAATTATTCTGGGGTACACTGTTAAAAAATTATGCTGGAAATTTCAAGTAGAAAAACTTCAGGTATGACTGCTTCTGGAAATCGTGAAAATATTTCAAATTCGGGCCCTAATTTCCCGGAATTTTCAATCTATGAATTAAATTGCATTTTATTGAAATTGAAATTGAATTCAAACTCTCATAATTGAAAATTTAAATGACTGGAAGTTCAATGAATTTCTACTAGTGTAAATTTCCGTCCAATAGTCGGTTCTCTCTACCCCTAGGGATTTTTTTGTTTTGGTAACGGTCTAGGTAAATTTTGTGATTTCTAGAGAATGTTCTCAACTAAAAAAAAATTTTTTTTTCAAAGACAACAGCGCTGATCGCCAACCCCATCGGGATTGAAAGCCGGACAGAACGGGGGATTTGTTCTCTGGAGACAGAAAGAGCCCCAGGAGCCGACGGGTGTGTGTTGTCCCATCAGGAGGCGTTCACCAGGTCTGCTGTTGATTCTGGGGCCTGCGGGGCACCTCCTGGAGCACGGCTCGGCGGTCATATTCTTCGAGTTCCCGAAGATGCTCTCCGCCATGTAGCAGACCACCCAAACATGGCTGCACAGTTGCTCATTCGGGTCCTTCTGACAAAATGGCTGCACCTTTCCACCATTTACGCAGAAATCCACGTGACCAACTCTTCCGATTTCCCCATAGTATCCCGCGTTCGTGTGGATAACTTCCACGAAGTCCGCGTCACCGCTGTCCAACCTGAAGGGGTAATTGATTAACGGCTCGATAAGATTCTCGTGATATTTTCACATCTAGTGACTGCCTAGGGATTTTTTACGTTTTCATGAATTACTGGGGAACGAGAACACCTAGAGGGATCGTCATATAAAATTTTTCAGCTGAAATTTTCCTGGCTTTCGAATGGAACTCAGTATAATGGATTCGGAGGAGAGTCACCTGTTGACGAGCCTGGGGTGTACCAGGGGTCTCGCTGGGTCCAGTCCGATGATCTTGTGCATACGGAAGAGGAGGAAATTTGCCATCATACCGCAGAGATGAGCCCCCAGGGAGTGACCAACACAGGTTGTCCTCAGAATTGGCAGCCCCAGGTGTCTCAAGGTCGTTAGGGTCTGGGCTAGGCATCTAGCCACTGGTTGGAGATTGGAAATTGCTGCCGGGTAGCATGGGGCTGCACTCAGGGCACCCCAGTCCACCACGAAGACGTTGTAACTTCCGTTTCTCAGGTACGCGTCGCGGAGAATCGACATTGGTAGAATATCGTCACCTCCTGGAGGATATTTTTTAAAACACATAATCATCTTAAATGTTTTTGTTGGACTTGACCGGCAAAAAAAATATTTAAAAAATTGAATTTGAATTGAATTGATTTGTGTATCCGGTTATGCTGTGGAAATGGATTAATTACCTGCATAACCGTGGATTAAAATAATATTCTCTAAAGTCGGTTGATAATTCATCTGCAGCCAGTCCCCTTTGAACTTCTCCATGAGTTTTCTCTTGCTCTCATTTCCTGGTGTATAAAGATAAACATGAACGTCGGGATCGGGACACGCGTCCTTATCATCCCCTCGTCTCCATGTGCAATTCTCTTTATTATAATCAGCTCCACCGCTCTCTATTGCGTCCTGGAGTGGTCCCCGGGCGAGACGCGTTAAACTTCTCTCAAATTCCGTAAGTGCCGAGACACTAAAATTATTTTCACCCCAAAAATCTATACTCATCCAGAAAAAAATTATCAATAGGTTCTTCAAATTTTTACGGGACATGGGTAGATCGGGTTTACCACTTGTTTTTATAAAAAGTCAATAATTTAATTTGCCCGGCGCTAAGAGGTGACTGACACGACTCGGTGAACGTCTCAGTGATGACTAAATCCAGAGACAAATATACTCAACGAGTATTGTCGCTTCATTGCCCCGCACTACCACTCTTTTTACCGTTTTTTCCCCTTCATTTCTTTTTTTTATTTTAGCTTCTCCTTAGCCGGACCCATTAATTTTTTATTAGTATTTATTGCCATTATGATCTTCGGGGAGTACTGAGCGTTGACATTTCGAAAAAAAGTCGACGTTTTCTTTTTAATATTTCAGAGGTGAGAAACCATCGCGATTTCATGTGATAGTTTTAATTTCTTTTTTTTTTTCAAAGGGAATCTTAAATTGAATGTAATTGTTGTTGTGGAAAATTCAAAATATTCGGGCATTATGACTTTATTTTTAAAATTCTTTGGGACTTTCTTGAAAAGTGCATTTTGCGGGAATCGAGGCTGCAAGCAATTGCGCTACTTCCGTGGATTTTAGTGGACAGTAAAAAAATGTTTTTTTAGGCCACCGTGATATCATGATTCATTTCAAATTGTAAAGAGAAATTTTTCTTTTTTATTCCATAAAAAAACATTGATCTCATGGTTTTTTTTTGGTTTTCTTAATTTCCGTTTATTCGCTGGTACAATTTCTCATATTTTTTATTCATTTTATAAAATATACATTTGGGAAGATTAAAAATCTCGTAATGGGGAAATGCGATTTTTTTTTTAGTTCTTCCTCTTTTTTTATTTCGCGTGAGAAATGGGAGACTGTTGATTTAACATCGGAGAAAGTCTGCAACTCTTATTTTCGAGGGCAAATTCGGTGAAATTTCTTCCTTACACTTGACATCGGCAACTTATGACACGTAACAACTAAAATTCACGTTTTTTTTTTCTGCGGGGGGATTAGAAAGTCCAGGAGATCGGCGGGATGATATTATCGGTAATCGTTGCATAACACCTGGTGCTCGAAATAAAAATCATTTCCGCCAATTGTTTTTGTCATGTTCTTTTATTTTTATCTATATGTTGACAGCATTAACAAAAAATTATTCATCTACTCAGTATAATACAAAACATTGACACAATCACTGATCGATTCACAGACTAAACACTCGATAAACGCGCAAAAATCATTTTCAACATGAGTCTCAAAAAAATTACTTTCCGCACGATTCGACATGAACACAAATAAAAAAAAAACACGTCGAAAAAATTTCACTTTGCGCCCTAGTCCCGAAAAGTTCCTTTCTCCTCCAATTTTATTTTTCCATGATAATTCGTCGAATTACATTCGGAAAAGAGGGTCATTTCTTTTTTTTTTCGATAAACCGGAATTTTTCCGGCTTCTCCCTCCCCTCCTCGTCCCGCCAAAAAACAAATAAAAAAACATAAACAAAAAAAACGTAAATTTATTAAAAAACAATTATTTGATATTCAAATTATGGATTTCCGCTTGGATGGCGGTGGCGAGTTGTGCCTTATCAGCATCGGTAATTTTGCCTCCCTTATCACTCGTCGTATTGGTGTCTTCTCTGGCGCATTCTTTTTTATGGAGAAACCAGTGATAGCGCTGACACTCTCTGTCGCAGTACTGAACAGCCCGGCATTTGCTACACTTTTTCGTGGCTTTTTCTTCACCGCAGGTGATACATATCTGTGACAGATCTACGAAACCCCGTTGGCCATTGATAGCCGCCGAAACAACGGAAACGGCTGACGGTGGATCGGTACCAGCTAGAGTCGCTATCATCTGTCGGAAGATGGTGCTCTCCCTAAAGGGGAATTCCCGGACTATCTCTCGGAGAAGAGCCTCTTGGTACTTATTGCACTTGAGTAATTGTTTTATGAATAGCTCAACGAGATCTGTTTGACACTTCGTCGAGGTCTTGTCCGTCGCCTCTGGAGATTTTTCTTTTTCCACTTTTTCTTTTCGCGCTTCTTGACGTTTTTTCAATTTTTGAATCTCGTTTATTATGCAACTTAGGTAGTGGTATTTAAATGCCATTATTTCGTTTGTCTCAGCGCCGCGTGTCATCTCACGTTGGCGGAGTGATTCTAGGACTTTTTGAACCTGGTAACCGAGCGAAATTGTCTGATTATGCGACTAGGACGAAAAGTCGGGGTTTACGAACGGGATTTTAGGAGATCGTGGTGGTAATTTTATTTGCGGGAAAATTTGAAATTTGATGCGGAATAGGAAGGAGTTTTGAGGAATGTCAAATTGATGAATAAATAAATAAATAATTAAGGAAACTTATGCATTTGACTGGAAGATGGGAGATTAGGGATTTTCGATATTTCAAATGTAGGATATGCAATTGATACTCATGAGAGAAAATAATAGATAACTCACCTTTGCCAGATGATCTAACAATCCCGTACATTTTTGCAATGTAATGGCCACCCTGACCGGATGCACATTGACCTGCATAATGAATTTATGAAAAGAATCAGAGAGATGGGGTGGTAGCATCGGCTCAGTCTGTAATCCCTGTGGTTTAACGTAGTAATCGATGTCAGCCTTTGGTATGTAATTATTGATTGTTGCAACGCAATTGTGATTGCCAACGAATGCTGCCATTTGCGCTGCTGTACGTGCCACTGAGTTAGTTGCATTGATTTTGGCACCACAGCTCAGCAGAAGATGGCACAGATCAGCATTGCCACTCAGGGCGGCCAAGTGGAGGGCTGTGTAGCCGTTGTCCTGTTGACAGCCATTCACATCCGCTCCCTAATGAAATTTGTTTTTAATTAAATACATACCATCGGCTGGTCCGAAATTCTCCAATTAAAAATGATCATTGCACCGGTTAAAATAATTACTTTTGCCACGTTAATTTATTAATTGAAAAAATTAAATCGTTGGGAAATATGTACATCGAAATTTGAAGGAATTGTTGGGACAAAATGAGGATGTAGTGTAATGGAGCAATTATTGATCTCTGATTATAAATGTAGGGGAGTTAGGGCTTTTAGAATTTTCTGCAATCGATTATTATTGTTTTGATGTCGTTCTAACCTGATCCAATAACATCTGAGTTATTTCCTTGTTTCCTTTGTAGCAGGCGTGTTGCAGTGGACTCATGCCATTCTCATCCACAAAGTCGATTTTTAATTTATTGGATGCTAGGAGAGATTTTAGCTCTGTTGCTTCGTTTTTTTCTACTTTGGAAAATATTTCACGTTGAATGTCTGTACACATTGTTGTCGACGCCATTTTTAGGTGGACTGGGGCCTCCAAAGAGGATTGACTAAAGTGGAGGCTCAGTCCTGGGGGTTGGAGTGACCCCGGCGCCATTGTAGTACTGCACCCCTAGAGAGGGAGGGCGCCACACGAAATGGGGGTGTCTGCCCGTCAGCTGACTCGGTGAATGTTATTTTCTGCGTTACGAAATTGCTATTCACTGAAATTTTAAAACCCCGTCGACTGGACCCATTGCGATGATTGATCCGGTTTATAATTTATACAGAACCTCACGACATTAATTATCGTGAATACACAATTTATTCGGCAGAATTAACATTTGTTCGATCATTACAAACAACAATGATTAATTTTCTATCATAAAAAATAGTTTTAATTACCTGATCCTTAATTAATTCATTGATTTAAAATACTAAGATATTGTCAGAGAATTGAATAATTAATTATCATTAAGGGCTGCACAGGGTCTTAAGAAATCTATCGGGTGGTACACATTAGGTCGTAATTGAAAACAGTTTTACCATTAAAATTCATTGAATCGGATTTTTTATCAAATAATAATTAAAATTCAATTCTTTCATGATTCTGTTTAAAAAACAATCGTATTGCACTTGAGTGGATTCTATTGATTGAAAAACATTTTCTTTTCGGTTGATTAAAATCGTCGATTGTCATTTGATTCTAACAATGTGATGTTGTCATCTAAAACTCACATATTTACACTCAGTTAATAAATTTCAAACACCTAATGATTTCAAACGTTTCTAGGTGAGAAAAAGAGAAATTCAAAAAATTGAATTCACCGCATTTACAGGATGCAAATTAAAAATACGCCTACTCAGTCTTCATTCTATGTTAATACAAGGTAACAATAATGGGAGAATTATGAATTAGTTCAGTAACAAACCGGTAAAGTCTCATGATTCGACCGCAAAAATGACCATGAAAATCAATAATTTTTTTCTCAATCGCTATTCAATAAGAATATCAAATTCGATGCTTCGTCATTCCGTTACTGAGTTGATCGTTAATATTTTTTAAAGCTTAAATGATTTGTTTGTGATTGATTCGAATGGTTTTAAAATGTTAATTATTTTTTGGGTCTAGGATATCTGAAATTGTGTGACGAGGAGTTTTGTAGCTTTGGCAATATCGTAGGCACACGATCGGACTTGCTGAAGACACCGATCCATGTGTCCAGGATCACTGGTGCATCTTTGAAGGCCAGCGCATTCGGCCTGAAGTCTTCCAGTGTTTCCATTGAGTTGCCTGAGGGCTGATCTGATGTTATCTTCGATTGGGTTCTGCATTTATGGAAATGGATTGATTATCTCCGAGAATTAGAAAATAAAAGAGACTGATCTGTGGAATCAGTGAATACCTGTGGGAAAATAGCAGTCAATTCGGCAACAGCAACTCTAATCCTCTCAGCACAGGGGACAAATGCCTCCCTGTGCCCTGGATCCTGCATCGCCATCCAGAGCTCCTGAATTCTTCTGGTGACTTGTTCTGTACGTCTTGTAACTTCGTCACATGATGGAAGACTCGACGATTGATACGACCAGAGGCTCTGAGTCGTATTGGGTCGGACCAGAGTCTCCCCATGTGGCTTTGTCTGTAACCAAAATAATCGAACAAATAATTCTAATGTGAATGTATCCGTGTCTTGTGCTCTGCATTACGAAAGAACTGGAAATATGAAAAAAAAAAAAATGGAATTGCATTTTTTTTTTTACTTGACTCATAGAATTCCACGGTCCAGGCTTCTTGAGTCCCTCTCGCGTTTCGTACATTGAGGCAGGTCTCTGGCCCCTGGAGAGGGTACTCCTGAGGTCCCCGAGGGACTCCAAGACCGGCTCCTGCTCCCCAGAGTGGCCGTTCATCACGTCCTCTGGGAGAGATTTCTTCTGTGATTGTATGGTACTCTTCAGTTCTCGATTTTCTCGAGTCAGGGCCTCAATCGTCTTCTTCAGGTCCTTCATCTCTTCTTGAAGAGATTTTATAGTCGATTCTGAGGTGCTCAGCTGCTTCTTCAGGACTTCTACGATCGAGGGGAGGCCCTTGGCCATTGGGGCCAGTGCCTTCTGTAAAATAATAAAAATAAATAGAACTCCAAGATTCCCCATTTCACCAGTTTTTGAAAACGAAAAGCCATTAAAAAATTGTCCTAGGGGATAACACGGAAAAAATTATTAAACAGTTGTCTAAAATATTAAAATTCCAAACAGATTAATTAAAGACATGAAACCCTGGAATTTAGTATAAAATAATTACGAAATTAATTTTTGCCATTGTTAAAAAAAAAAATCTGAGTCCTGAAAAATTGACATGCATAAAATAGGCCATCCAACGACAGATTTAACGAGCAATCACTTGCCTAGAAGCAGAAGAGCCACGTACTCAGACGTTTCCTCGTTTTTTGTTTTCCTACAAGTGCTGGCACCTTAATTACCACAACAAGCATAATAATCTCGAATTACCAATGATAAAACCGACCCTAGTAAGCCTAAGACTAAAGAAAATTTTGCATCTACACACAACAGAAGCTGATCCATTCATTAAACATTTTTTGAAAATATTCTAAATAATTGAAATGAGTGGAAACACATTTTTTCACCTCGTTTTCGACGTTTGTCGAGCGAATACTGGATACGTCGGTAGTTACAGCAGCGTAATCATCGTCTGAGGCAACACTGTCGTACAGAGGCTCGTCATCAGAAACCTGAGAGCCGTATTTCTCTTTTTTTAAAGCTAAAACTGCAGGATCTGTACAAAAAAAACGAGGGCTTCATGAATTAATTACGAAAATTCAGGTGAAATAATTAATAATATAATTACCCTGCAATGGAGTTGTGTTTGATATCATGTGTCTCCTGCCAGCTTCGGTGAGTAGATCGATTATTAATACCGTGAATTCTTTGGGTGTGAATCTCGCCAGCTTCTGTCGTCCCTGATTTCTCGTGGATGACAGGTGTGGATTTACCGGTAGAAAAGGCACTGTTGTCCTCTCTGGAAGACTCGCATGCGACAGCCAAACTAATTTCCCAAATGATCCATTAAAAATTATCCACAAAAATAAAATCCGATTGGTCAATGAGTGAGATGAGGTCTACATGAATCTAAATGTCGAATGATTAATCAGAGAATTCGTAATGAAATATTCCGCCTTCCAGATCTTGAAAGAGTCCATTAAATCCTGACGTCATCACAAATTTTATACAACACTAGACTATTTTTATTGTCTACTCAGATAAATAGTAAATAATTCTGTTTAAATAATTAGGTTGTTGCTCACCTGTCCCTCTGTAGATGCAGAAAAGAATTCATGCGGATTATTAATGGAAAATAATATCGAAGGACTAATAGTTTTAATGGCCTATTGTGATTTTCAACGTGATGAGATGATTAATTAACAATAGTATCCATGAACATTAACAGAGATTAATTAACACTGAGTTTACGATATTGGGAGACTAAATAAATGGTTCAGTAATTTTCTAGGTTCTAAATATTTTCGGTATTGAGGACATCGAATATTATAATCGATCGATACAACACCAAAAGTGAAAAACATAAATTCCAATGATTCCATTTGGAATAAAAATAATTAATCAACAAATTCCAGTTGATGAGATAACGTGGTCACTAATGAATGAATAAATTAAATTCGATATCCTCAAGAAATTGTAACAATCATTAATTATCCTACGACAATCACTCACCAGCTTCAGTCTCACGTCTGTCGACCTCGTCATAGACGTCCATGGCTAGCTCCTCGAGTAAATTATTAGGAAGCAGTTGGAGTCGAGTTCTAGCTTCAAATGCCAACTCGTTCCTCTCGAGATTGACTGACCACTCGGGGATAATTAAATGCTCCTGAGAGCGATGATCTGGCTTCCTCGAGCATACGAAGAACGTCAATCTGTCAGTGACTTCGTACATGCACTCAACGAGTCTCTCTGACAGTTCCAAATGTCCCGACATCCTATGAAATGTGAATAAATACGGGAAATTATATTATCCCAGTGAATGAATGACAATCAAAGAATGACAAAACGACTTGAATAAATAAATCAATCAATCAATCGCAATGAATGATTTATACCTGGCAATTTCCATGGGTGTATGCCCATTAGAATCAATTAAACTTGGATTGCCTCCATTAGCAATGAGGAGCTCCACCTGGAGTGCCTGGCCAGCCCTGGCAGCCACGTGAAGGGGATTTGTTCCTTTCTCCTTGTAGAAATAATTGGGATTCGCACCCTGTGCCAACAATCTCAATGAAGTCTCCAGATTGCCAGTCCTGACACTGCTGTGGAGCTGTTTACTCAACTCCTCGTCACTGCAGAATTCATCTTTGCTGGGGCGCAATATGAACATCAGCTGCTGGTGTTTTAACCGAATAAAATCAGCTTTTACTGGGTGCAGGGGATCCTTGGGCTGTAGCTTGCGTCGGTTTATCTTCGAATTACTTGGGTCCATCAGGGAATGCTCCCAGATGCTATTCGCACCGTTATCGTTCAACGTTTGCACCATCTGATGGGAGAGAAAATTAATCAACTTTTTGGAAAAAAAATATCGAGGATAAAGGCTTATTTAATTCTCAATATTCAATAAAATGTGAAGGAAAATGTGTGATGGGCTTGTAATATCATAAAATCATCTCATCATTTGTGTTTAGAAATTTTAAACGGGTGGATGGTTTCATCGATTGAATATTTTTATTAAACCGATGAGTGGAAAATCTGGATAAATTCTCACAGAGAGCAAAAATGGGTTCCAGACGCTCTTGTGGAGGGACTTGATGTGTGACACATGTCGTCCGAGGCTTCGGTGAATGCTGCAGCACTCGTCGCACAAGAAAATGGCACGGTTCACTGATGCCCATCCTGGCCCTGTCCAACAAACAGAAAATGAGAAAAAAAAAATTGTCAGAACCATGGGAGATGCCTCTACGCCACCCAATGACTTACTTCCTGTCTGGCATTTATTTATATACAATTTCTGGGAGCTCAGGGGAACCTAGTAATCACTTAATACCCCGGACAAATCCAAATATATGTACTCGGTCCCAAAATACAAATTAATTATCCCAAAAAAAAATTAAAAATTGTGATAAATTGAAAAAAAATATTTCGCAACGATTAAGTAGGAGAAAAATAATCAATACTAATTCTGTATTTTTTAAATTACTTATTGATAGAAGATTCCACAATTTGATATTAGTTTTTAAAAATTAAAGTTGTTTAATGAAAATTTTATTAGAACGGTAAATTAAAAATGAAAATTCACTGATAATGAGTCTCAAATTATTTGAAGGTCTGAATAATGAATATAATAGGAATAAATAGCGATAATTCGATTGAATCCAAAAGAATATAAGATTGAGTCGAAAAAATTAATTTATTCTAATCTCACCAAGAGCTCCACAATCAGCACAGAGATCCGAGGTTGCTTTGTACTTGGGTCTTGCCATCTTGATCTAATGATTAAAATCACTGAACCCCAACGATTTCTTCAAAACGACTTCATTTTTCAACAATATAAACCAAAGAATTAGCGAATAAACATGGAAAAACCAAGCGCCATTGATTGCCAATTATTTTTAAGTCCCCAAGTATTTTTGACAGGTTAACGATGTGTGCGTGTGGGAACAAAATGGAGGCTGGAATAGCCCCTTGGCGCCGTTAATTAATAAAAATGGAGGGAAAATTCAATTTTTCTGGAGAGAATAATTGTTTCATCGATACATCACCAAAAAATATTGATTATTCTTTTTGAATGTTCATTCATCTCAGGATTAATTAATTTTTACATGAGATTTTTCTAATTATTTCAATTCATTTTACAAAATTATTTGTTTTGAATTTCAATTATTTTCCCACGGTATCGTGTCTCCACCTTTTGTCGAAAAGATCACTCACATGAAAACCGTCTCGTCGTTTTCATAGATCGTACCTCTGCATCTCTTTTCCGATCTCTCCCGACAATTCCCGAGTGTGCGTTCCTTTTCCCTCGAGAAGTTCCTGAGGGATCGGTATGTTCCCCAATTATTTCACTTTTATTCCATTTATTCTCGAGCAATCATTCCATTTATCCACATTAATTACCAATAATTGTGATAACCGATCATCGAAATTAGCGTAGGTGTTTGTATTTTTTGGATTAATTGAATCTTTTTGTGGTTAATTGCAGGTCAATCATGGGCCGTCGACCAGCGAGATGGTGAGTTCTCATGCTGTTTATGTTATTAACAATTACCCAAACTATTTATTCATTAAAAAACAATTCATAAGTTACTCCCAATAATTCAGTGGATGAAATATTAAAAATCATCGCGATGGGATCGAATATTTTTGCAACTGTACGCAAACAATTTTGTGGTTAGGAAATTTTTTTTTTATTGACCCGATGACTTCTATATTTCTCCATATGATGAAATAAAGCATTCCATAATTTCAATTGCTATATCTATTTAAACAAATTATGTATAATGCATATTTTGATTAATTTTGGAGAGCAATAATTCATCTGTTTTGTTTTACAATTAATGTTTTATTCATTCTTTATTCTAACTCTCTTAATCATTTCCTACCTTGAAAGACTTTAATTAATTATCATTTAATTGTCGTTGTACAGTTATCGCTACTGCAAAAACAAGCCTTACCCAAAGTCTCGTTTCTGTCGTGGTGTCCCAGACCCGAAGATTCGTATTTTTGATTTGGGAAAGAAGAAGGCGAGTGTCGAGGATTTTCCCCTGTGCGTTCATCTCGTGTCAGATGAGTATGAACAGCTGAGCTCAGAGGCACTTGAGGCAGGACGTATCTGCTGCAACAAGTACATGGTGAAGAACGCAGGAAAGGATCAATTCCACATTCGCATGAGACTCCATCCCTTCCACGTCATCAGGATCAACAAAATGTTGTCCTGTGCCGGGGCCGATAGGTAAAATTCACTGCATTCCTTAAATTTTCTCTAATTAAAATATTGATTACTCCTTGAATTGTGAATTCAAAAATGTCAACTTATTTATATTCGCTGAGAATTGTATTACCATTAAATTAATTTTTTTAATTTCAATTGTAATCTGTAAGGATTCGATAACTTCTCATAATTGTGAGCTGTGAATTTTTCACTTAGGCTCCAAACTGGGATGAGAGGTGCCTTTGGCAAGCCCCAGGGTACAGTTGCCCGGGTTCGCATTGGACAGCCGATCATGAGTGTGAGGTCGTCAGACCGTTACAAGGCCTCAGTGATCGAGGCTTTGAGGCGTGCCAAGTTCAAGTTCCCCGGTCGCCAGAAGATCTACGTCTCCAAGAAATGGGGATTCACTAAGTATGATCGAGCTGAGTACGAGGAGCTCAAAGCAGCTGGACGCCTTGCTCCTGATGGCTGCAACGTCAAGTATCTGCCAGAGCACGGACCCCTCGATGCGTGGAAGAAATTCAGAGAGTACCTGGCCACGGCCTAACTCTTCTGACAATTTTTGGAGATCGATAATTGAATAATAAAAAACATTTGAAAAACAATATTCTGTATTTTATTTTTTACACATTGTTTTATCCCATCGAGAGATCGGCATTAAAAATCATAAAAAATATTCCATCCTACTTCGATCGTCGAGATAAATCGATAAATGAATGTTTCCAACTGAAATTCAGTGAATTGCGCCAACTTCTCATTTAATCGGTAAAAATCTGTCATGGCAACGGGCGAGATAAAAAAAGAAATAATTACACCGGTATTTCACACCTATCCCCTCTGCAAAACGTCGGATATGCCCGAGGAAATGCACCAGGAAGTCCTGGAGGTGTGTGTCACTGCCACTGAAAAATTCTCTGACAATTACGAGCTCGCGGCGAAAATGATCAAAGACGACCTGGACAAGAAGTTCGGAGCACCTTTCCAGGTGATCGTCGGTGAGTCCTATGGGTTCTCTGTCATCTACCAGGAGAAAACAATGATGCATATGTATTCGGGAGGAAATATCGCTGTTTTGGTCTATAGAACTGTCGTGGGATTTGGATAATTAATAAATCAAACTCTCTTTCCGTATTATGTTGTATAAAATATTTTAAAATTCTCCAAATTGAATAATTAATCGTCCAATTTTAACATAAACAATTGCAATTAATGCACGCATTAACGGATTAATCAAATAGAATAAATATGATTAATATACTCCATTTATTTTTCTCCTGAGTCGTACATTCGTTCTCTCCATTATTTCACTCCATTTATTTTGAATTTAAAAATTAACTCAACTATTTTTTCACAATTAATAAATCGTTTTGGTGTATAAAAAATTTCTCCGCGTGGTTACACGATTGATAATAGATTTCTTATGATTAATAGTTCATTTTCGACCTGAGATATTATTTTTTTTATTTTGTCCTTCGGATATCGGTGATTGAGTCAGGATTGATCGAGTGGACGAAAAAAATCGGTTGCGTTTTTTTTTTCGCTGAGGGATTTCAAGGGGAAGGAGTCGAGGGAGATTGATGGGTAATATCTCACTGGATAGCCAAGAAAATTCCGATTTCAAACCCTAATTGACGGTCTAGATTGACCCAGTGATTCTCTGTTAATTATCCCTTTTCGAATTTGGGAGTGGAATACCGATATCACCGATATCTCATTAATGCGCGGTGCAAAATGGTTCCACAATGAGAGTTTAAAGTCACAAATTTTCCGGGCTATCCAATGAAACATGTTTCATCGTTGTATCTCTTCAGGTTCCTGAGGTGTGCCGATTTTTTCACTTCACCCGATCGTCCAGTTGCGGTTTATGCGGCGTCGGAGAATTCTCAAGCCGATTTCCATATGCAAATCGCCAAATTTCCTGCGCAGTACATATACAGAAGGTGTTTCAATTGATACGTTATCTCAAATCCATAGCCCTCGCCGACGACGGTGTGCCAGGAAGCCCCAAATTTCTTATCCATCGTTTCCTTTATCATCCGCGAAACATTCTCGTAGTTGTCAGCGTATTTTTCAGCCGCTGTCACACATAATTCCATCGCCTCCTGCTTCATCTCGTCTGTCATGTCACATTTCTGGGACACATCAAAATCGATAATAATTTATATCTTAAAAAAACAAATATTCGCAAAGAAAGAAAATTTTTTAAATGCGTTTTTCTCTACACGTGGTTTCCATAATGATCAATTGTCGATTAAATTCCTTGAAACGTGCTCTTGGATACGCAGACTTGTTTACTGATCAATAAAAATATATCTCAGGATGAGGAAAACTCACTCGACACAGGGGATAGGTGTGCAGAATTTTTACGACGTCGTCCTTCTTCACTTCCGTCATCGTCGAAGAATCGGTAAATATTCTCCAAGGAGACTGCAAGAACCTGAACAGATCTTGGTTCTAATCACTCTGAGTCATCTGGGTGGGGATGTTTTTGTTTGGGGGTGGTGTACACACCCCCGATCTCCAGGGGATGAGGGTGAATAATTTAACGCATGCGCTCATCCCCTCCGAGAAAAATCGTTTTGAAAACTCATTTTTGTGGAACAATTTTTTATAAATTCTCGTGACGAATAGCAAATGATTGTTTAACAGCGAATGAATGAAGGAGTGATAAATAATAAAAATACAGGGAGGGATTTTCCATTGAAAATAGAAACATCCAAAGTTTTGGCATATTTATTACCTCGATTTAAACAATATGTTTATTTCAATAGCTACCGTTTAACTGCAAAAAGTACCACTAATTACAATTTACATACAAATTTGACATTCAACGTGAATAATCTACACTTACGTCTGGAATATTTTAATACGAATATGATATAATTCACAATAGAATAATTTTTTATATAAAAATCCTAAAGTTAATTATCTGCACCTACATAAAATTTATAATACAATTCCACTTTGTTCTAAGATACTTGTTCAATTTTTCCAGTCATTATCTTCGCGATCAAGATTCTCTCATCATTCATCAGCTATCGATTTTTTAATATTTTTTCAATGCTTCGGCTCCAATTACTCCACTTAATTATATATTTCAAGTATATATGTATACATACTTTTTATTATATCAATATTCACACGTGAATATTTACGCCTAAATTCTGTCTCAATATTCCTACTGAGGACTGCGCACAAGACTGCGCAGGATTTCCATTAGTGAATCGGTGTAATTGTGAAATTTGTTTCAAGGGCGAAGGAAAAGAAAAATTTAGAATACTGATTTTTCGATTTTTGTCCGATTCATATTAAATATTCATATTAAATCTTACTTTCATTTTTTAAATCCTTAAAAAATGTTTTATCACTTCATTCGTTAGTATTCCAGCTATATCTGTAAATGCACCTGCAATTATATTTATACGTGACTATAGATACATGAATGCTTCTCGATATTCGAGATTTTATCGATGCAGTATTTCTATTCTTCATAAATTCTACTTCTCTAGTTCGATTTTGCGTCGATTATTGGGGTTAGATTGCCAAAGAGACAACTGCGCAGAACGCTGCGCAATATCGCTATGAGTGAATCGGTGCAATCACAGGATTTCACCGATGCAGTAAAAATGCATACGAAGAGAGTAAATTTAGAATACTGACAATGATTTTATTTCGTTAAGCAAAGGGAGCACATTAAAAAAAATGAAGTCTCCTTATAATCAATAGCATCAACAATAAAAAATTCAACTTCACAATAACAATCATTCATCGTCCCAATAACAACAAGAAATTTCTTGATGCCTTTACCCATTCAATCAAGAAGAATTGATCTCTATTTTCGATCACTAATTAACGAATCACCACACCAATGATCAACTCGTGTCAATTATTCCCAGAATATAACAATGTTATTATATTTACATGAAAATAGGCAGATATGTAGCGGATTAAAACTGTTCATGAAGGGAAAAATGAACTTGTGATGATTTAAAAAACATCATTAAAAACCTGATATTTTCCCGAGTACCCCCAGTAATCCAGGGATGATCATCAGTATTGATTCTGCATTTTCCGAATTAACGGAGATTCCGACATTAAATTCGTGTACACGTTTATCTGTCTTTGTCAATGAGAATGACAATTCATATCCGTATCGCCCTCGGTCTCGGCACTGGGAATATCATCGTCAAGGTCAATATCACAGATGCGATGATTGGAATGATTGTCATTGGTTGTTGCTGAGTCAAGGAGAGGCGACAGTTTCTCAGCTTCGCTGTCCTCATCCTGACCCTGACTCTCATAAACAGCCGATTGTTTCTCATTGACCAATCGCAGCATATCCCTCCCCTTGTGCCCAGTCTTATCTCGACAGTGACCTTGACCCTTTGCCCTGACCCCAGGTGACCTTCCATGGAGTTCCTTCTGTCCTACCTGAGTCTCGTCCCTCGCCAGTAGCACAGACATCCGAAATTCCGGTGTTGGGCATGGTGTTACACCACCTGACCTTGACGACACACCGAGGTCGCCCTCTTTATGATTGGCGTGCTTGAGGACTGGAGTTCGTTCAGCTGATCTATTGAGAACCTCAGCTGCCTGTATAGCACTCGCGGTGTCGGTGTCAGGGGTGTCAGGTGAATCCGGAGGTATAGCTGCTGTTCTTGGTGTGTAGGGTCCATTCAACGCCTCGATCAAGGACACAGCTTCATATCCCGATGGAATATTCTCACAATTTCCCTCAGGAAGTGGTGGACTGGAAATAACAACACCAGTTGCCTTCTGGAGGGCTTTGATCTGGAGAAGAGCGCGAAAGGGTGCCCTGCAGATGGGACAGTTGTTGGCCTGATACCTCAAGGAGTCAGCACACCCGTAGCACAAGCATAGGTGCCTGCAGGGAAGGATGAGGGTGTCCCTGACGTCGCACATGCAGATGACACACTCAGACCCATTGTCCTCGGTGTCGTCGTCACTCCCCTGCTGCTTCGTATTCTCCGTGTTCTTGTTCTCGATTCCGTAGATCTCCTGGAGTAGATAGCACAGACCATCGACGTAGAGCTTCTGCTTGAGAGCTTTGAGGATGTAGGAACCGTCCGAGTGTTTTTCAACGACAGCTATCGTTGTGTGAGACTGTCTGGGCTCATCTGAGCCCTCCTCTGCCACACAGTGAATGGCGATTGGAATTATTTCACGATCTGTGTTGTAGGTGAGGTCCTCCTCGTTGAAGAGGGTCGGATCGAACACGTGGGAGGACTGAGTGAACAGCTGATTAGCACCTTTTTTGTAATGAAATGTCTCAGAGTTCATTGATGGGTCCCGAGGATTGTAAGTGACGCCTTTGGTGGTAACCTCCTCAGTGCAGAAGTAATAAACAGTTATTGCGCATCTAACGTCGCAATCGAAGGTAAATTCGATATTAAATTTTGTGGATTTCTTGTCCACGTCGTTCTCTCCGAAATGCTTGATGGCATTGATGGTGTCATTGGACTCTGAGGACGTGGCGTGTTGGTCGGAGCTTCTCGTCAACCTGAGGGACTCTTTTCTGATGTTTACGAGACTCTTCAGGGTTTTGGTGGGATCATTGGCCTGTGGTGGTGGGTAAGGGAATGGCGTTGGACGACTCCCCAGGAAATTGAGATCCGGATTTTCACCGAAGAGGTAGGCCTCCGGCTGAGGTGTGTCGAAACGTTCCCCACCCATGATGAAGTGACTTCCGAAGTAGCTTCCTGATCTGGGGGGATACTTGTACGCGTGATTCGAGACGATATCCACCTCTTCGACACCCGCATTCTGTCGGCTGGTGAGCGATCCCATTTTTTTTTCAGCAGAAAATGCAAAACAAATCCTACGACTCCGGAGATGACTTTGAGAATCGCTTGATTGACAGCTGGAGGGTATTTTCACACGTAAATAAACACCAGGACACTCCTCTCAACCTTGTTGTCAACTTCTGTCACTAGAAAGTCCTTGAAAATCACTAGAGTCCTCAGAACATCACTGAAATCACGGTGATATCACGAAAATTGCCTAGTTTGAGGGAAAACTACTGCTTTGAGGGCTGATTAACGTGTTTTTGGGACTCCAGATGATCAGCTGGAGGAGTTTTGCTGCATTGATGTTTCCTCCAATCCCATTGGCTCATCTCCACCAGCCAGATGCCATCTTCTGGGGGATTTAGGAGGTATTACTCATTTTTGTGCATGTTATCTGGGGTTCGTCCTCTTTTTTTTCAGTGGACGTTATGGAAAAATCCAGTGACAGGGCCACCGGAGGATGGGTCAGGGTCAAAGCTCTAGGGAGTGGTGCCTTTGGAGTTGTCGAGCTCTGGAGAAATGTGGAAAATGGAGACACCAGGGGTGAGCTTATCAGGTCTTTCGGTCTGACGTCGGATTTTTTGTTCTTCAGGGTTTGAATGGCAATTCTCTTCGTCTTGGTTTTTTGCAATTATTCATACTCTTGATGTGATTGTTTTTGTTTTTTTTTTTAAATTCAATGTTAGTGATGTTTTTTGAAAGGGACCGGTCAGTGATAATTTTTATTTATCCTTTTTTTAATGTAAAAAAATTTATTTGCTTTCGTTTTATTCGTTATTTTTTTTTTGAACATGGAGTGCAATTTTTTAAATAATTAGAAATATTAATTGAGGGTTACTGAAACATATAGTTTATTTTTATTTTGGTTGTATAAAAGATCCTTTTGGAGGTATTGGTATGCATGAGGATTAATTGTGTTGCAGCAATAAAAAAATGTCAATTAGACGTATCAAAATTGTCTCGGAGACAAATAGAGAGGTGGAAGGAGGAGGTGAATTTCATGAAGCGAATTAACCATCCGAACATCGTAGGCACTAGAGATATACCTGTTGATGTTAAAGACACGAATCCACTGCTTCCAGTGCTTTGCATGGAGTACTGCAGCAAGGGAGACCTCAGAGACGTAAATTATTCATTTGATTGAGATATAAATAAATTTTCCCATTTCTTCCCCACAAATTCAGTTTTCCCCTCATTTATTTCTCTTATCTCTTCAGGTCCTGAATCGTCCCGAAAACTTCTGGGGTCTCAGCGAAAAAGAAGTCCTCAAAATTATGCGAGATATTTCCTCTGCCGTGGAGTACCTTCACGCCAATGGCATCACCCACAGGGATTTAAAACCCCAAAATATTGTCATTCAGGATGGCAGATCAGGTAGCACCTACAAATTAATTGATTTAGGATATGCTAAGGAATTGGGCGAGGCGAGTGCTGCTGCCTCCATCGTTGGTACATTGAATTATGTAGCACCAGAACTCTTCTGGAAGAGCTCCTACAGCTCCTCCGTCGACTACTGGAGCCTGGGGATTTTGTTCTACGAAATCCTGACCGGTACGAGACCATTTTTGCCCAACATGGCGCTCAACAAAAATTGGTACCTGATTTTTTTAATTTGAAAAAATCGCGTTGGATAGCTAGGGAAAATTTTCATTCAATTCAATTAAAAAAAAATCGATTTGAATGCATTAAAAATCGAGTTCTATTGATTATTGCAGGATGAAACATATAAGAAACAAAAGGCCCGAGGATATATCAGCTCGAGAGATCAACGGAAAAGTTGAATTTTCCTCATCTATCGATGATCCTAGCAATATACCTCAGTGAGTTTCAGGAATCCCCTGGAGGAAAAGAGATATTTAAATTAAAAAATGATTTTCAGGTGTTTGAGGGACGCCCTGACCCCCTGGTTTCGCCTAGTCCTCCAGTGGGAGCCATCCACCCGCGGGAAAATAATGGAAAATGGAAAAAGTGTTAATGGAGTCTTTCGCCTGTTGAAGACAATTTTCACGAAAAAAGTACATCTCAAACATGAAAAAATCTTTCTTCTTCATTACCCCTACAATCATGAAAACGATTTTTTTTGTTTGATGTACAGATCGTTCACTTATTCTTCGTATCTCGTTACAAGACGGACAATTTACTCGTAGAGGATACAACGAAAATTCTAGATATTGGAAAATGGATCTCTGAACGAGAGAAAATTCAAGTCCAGGATCAACTTCTCGTTTCGCCAGGGGGGAAATTGCTGGACTGTCCTGATGGCAGAATCGTGAATTTTCTGGAGGTAAAAATTACCCTAATGAGTAGATTGAATAAATAAAATAAATACAGAACCATTTTTAAATAATCTCTCAGGATGGCGACGAGGTGATCGTCTTTGAGAAGGACAATCTTCTGGTCAAGGTTCTGCCAGACGTTATTCCACCTAAAGATGTTCAAAGAATGATTGAGGGAGGTTTGACGAAGAAATATGATTATCAGACCCTCAGAAAACTGTACGGAGCTACGGTATTCTTCATGAAACAAGAAGTTGAACTCTACAAGAAATACATCATCGCTCTATCAATTAAAATGTGATGAATTAATTCTCCCACAGAATGAGGGTTCGGCATTTCCATTAAATTTATTTATCGACGTATTTTTTATCGTAATTATACAATTATAATAATTATAATATTATAGCCGAACGCTCATCAAAATACTGTCCAAAAATCGAGAGTGAGAAATTACGTGTAGTTTTTGTTCTAGAGACTTAATCGACACAAATTTCCTCTGCCTCTCGGAAAAAATCGAAAAAATGCTGTCGGCCTCGTCCAACCTCCACCAGTCCCTCCAGGAGGTGCCTCTACCCCGCGAGGATAATCCCGGGGCCTCCAGGAATCTTCAAAACTCTCACCAGCTCCACAAAAAAATTTCGAATTTGTTGTCGAGTGCCAGAGGGATAAAAAATGAATTGAAAAATATTTGGGACCTTAAGGAAATCGCGAAGGAGATTTTTCCGTCCTCTACAGACTCCTCGGGGTTCCTTAACGTCCTTGAGGAGGGGGAGGCGGTGTTCAGAGCATTTATGACAGCGGAGCAGAGTAAACTGTGGATTGCCAAGAAGATGATTGAAATTTATTTCAGATTTCTTAGCGTGAGGCACGAGATTTTGAATTCCGAGGGTCTTCAGGCTGTTGGGGGGCGCTTCATGGGGATCGAGGGGCAGCTTCTAAAGCTCGAGAAAGCTCTCGAGTCTTTTCAGACAATCTTGGGACAGTGCCAGAGGGATTTTCAGGAATTTACTGGTGAAATCCAGCAGATGAAGGCCATTGCAGGGGGTGGAGATACTCTCGTCAAGGATAACATCGTCCTGGGACACTTGTGAGAATTTATGCGCACCAGAAATTGCTTTACTCATTAATAACTCCCTATAACTAATGATAATGATTTTTTTTTTGCAGAATAAACGAACTTTTAACTAACATGGAAGACATCAAAGTGAAACTCAGTTCTCTCGATCAATGAAGACTCAGAAATCGAAGTGATTCGATAGAGATATATTAATTGTTGTTATTTCAGAGTTTACAGCAGTCAATTAATACATTTCTATTTTTAAATAAATTTTTTCTACGAAATGTAAATGAATAAATCGATTTTTATAATTAATCAGGGACGAGGAATGTAGTGTCTTACTCCCCATTTCACGTTTCCCAGTTTGTCTGTTTTTACAAAAGTGAATATCGGTCCTGGGAATAATTTTTTACGTTTTCCTGTAAAAAAAATATCAATCGTCAGGTATTCTGGAATTAAGAATTTTTCCTTTCAAAATTTTTACCTTCAGAAGTGCTGGCCATCGTCGAAATCATCAGAAAAATCACAAAAATAATTTTCCACACCTAAAACAGAAATGTTATCAAAATAATCTATCCACAATTTTCCCCATAATTTCTCAGAGTCTTAAATAATAAATTCTTAATTACTCTGATCATTCTAGTAATTCTTCCACCTTCTCGTATATCTGAAAATAAACTGACAACTTCTCAGGACCAATACCCAGCACAGATGACTGAACACTCGTCCCCAGAAACTTTCCTTCAATTGCTCAACAAAAAAAAAACACAAAAACAAATCCAGAAGACGTAAAAGCGATGGAAATCGATCACGAATTAAAAAATGGCCTCAATGAGAATCTCGAGAGAAATCACTCACATAACACTGAAATTTTTTTTCCATTTTGAAAAGAAAATAAAACTCATAATTCATTTAACAATTAAATTTTTATGTATTCATCTTTTATCAACTAATCACAAAAATTTCTAATTTATCAATTAAGGCCCTCCCTTTTTCAATCAAAGAATAATTATTTTTTTTATCGATAATAGAAGAATAAACAGAAAAAAATTCATTGAGTGGAGTTTATGATTAATTCATAGACAATATAATTTATTAAAAAGATTGTGCACATGTAGTCATCCCTACAGTTAATCGTACCGAGCAACAATTGTTAAAATAAATATAGTATGTATAATGTATAATATGTATCATTTTATAATTCTTCGTGATCAATCTATGAATTTTTTAGTTTCACTATTATGCACAGTCGCACTATAATAATTATATTTTCATAATTATTATTCTCCGGAGTAACACACACACTTCTACTTCATTAAGTAACTAGTCTGTCTGAAGATTTTTTTTTTGCATAAAAAAGTTCACTTTAGATCTAGATTGAATTCAGAATTTTTTCCACTCATTCGGGTATTCATTTAATTTCAAAAATTTATTTCTTAGTATAAAAAAATTTGAGGAGCTGCCTGGCTGATTTTCTTGATCAGCTGGGGTGCTTAATTAGTTGATTTATTTGACTTTAACTCGTTAATTCTGGTTATTAATTGTGATGAAGTGGTGGAACGTGAAAATTTGGACAATTCTAAAGAAAATTTTCCCCGAGATTTTTCTCGGTGAATTTAATATGAAGTTAATAAAATAAATGTAATATAAAGTTAATAAAAAATTTCGATAATATTTTTCCGTGAACCCGTACGTCATGAAAATATGCATTTACAAAAAAAAAAAAAAGGATTCATGAAACAATTCCACCACTTCATCGTTGAATTATCTTCAATTAATTAAGTAATTTGGTGTTTTTATCATTCATTGTCACTGATATCCTCATCTGTGGTGTATTCGGAATGTTCGTCAACTGCATCATTCTCCTCGGCAGTTTCTTCATCGGAAATATCCCATTGTGGATGCTGAGTTGGTATAGCTGGTGCTTCTATAACATCCAGCTTAAAAAAAAAGTTTAATTCCATTAAACAATCGACCACAATAAACAATGGACATTTGTTTCAATTCTACAAAATACTGGAGTAAATAAAATTCATTAACAATACAAAATAAATGATTAATATTAAAAATACCTTAATATCCTGAGTCTGGTAGAACCCCAGATACGAGTCACTCCTGAGGCACACAGAGAAAGTGAATAAACCCTTCCAGCTAGGTACAGCAAACTTGAGCTGTACCTCCTCGGTGTCGACAAGCCCAGTGACATGAATGGGCGTAGTAATGAGAGTATGAGACTTCCTGTCACAAATATAGACCCACCAGTACTCCTGCTTGACATCGGGAAAAAGTGGACAGTGAACCTCATGAGAAACATTGCTCCTACCCTCAAGAACCCTCTCCTTCTTAGCTATCCTCTGCTGAAATTTTTCCCACTCCTCATCATCATCCTCCTGATTGACCTTGACCTTGCCATTCTCCTCCTCACTCTTCTCACTCTCCCCCTCAGAGTTATCAGAGCTCTCCTCTTTGGCATTATCACCACCACCCACACTCTCCCGCTCCCTCTCACTCTCCTCCTCAACAGACTTCTTTCCCTTGGGCACCGTTTTTTTGGATACTCTCTGCTTCTTCCTCTTATCAATCTTCGACTTTGCCCCCTTCTTCTGCTTCCACCAGGACGTCTTCTTCATGGATGCTTCAATTTTCTCCTCCTTCTCCTCACCCTCAACCTCACCCTCATCAACAGTCTTCTCCTTGGCTGTTTCATCCCCAAACAATTCTCTCATATTTCTCCTGGTGAGTGTCACCGTAACCGTAACAACAGCATCAGCTGTGTAAACTGTTGGATTATCATCATCAACCACCTCAGACAGCACTTTAAAATCAACATAAGGCATATTACCGAGGACCCTGATTACATCCTCATACTGCTCATCACTCAGCATTCGGAGGAGCTGTCTCCTCTCATTTCCCTTGAGCTGGGCCAGTTGCTGGAGTGTCTTGACATTCTTCTTCTTACCGAGAAAATGTTTGAGATGCTCCTCCTCGATGTGTGGCAGCTGCAGCAGAGGATTGGCAAATTGCCAAAAGCCCTGGACAATCATCGGTGAAAGTTTCATACAATTTTCGATAGTGTGAATAGTTGGGAGAAGTGGCAGTCGTCCAGAGTAGGCAAGAAGAATCAGCTGATTGACACACGTCACCATCTCCTGGATGAGATAAGGGCACTTCTTCACGATGTACTGACGATCCTTCTCGAGGGTCCGGGGATTCAAGGGAATTCTCGACAGATGAGCGTGAATTATAGCCCGAGCTTTGATCGAGTACATATGACACAGAGGTGGCTCTTTATTTTTCTCCCCCAGGTTGGGAAGTTTTTTAATGAGCGATGGCATCTCCTCGTTGTCAGACTGACGTTCAATAATCTCAGCGTTTGCACCCTTGCAGAACTCATAGGATGCACCAAGAATCATAATTACACGTTTTAAAACAGTTGTACAGGTGCCACTGAAGAGGCCGTAGTACATGTGGGTTGTAGCGAGGAGAACTTGATCACCAGTGTAACGAATGCTCTTGTACCACCACATGCCGACGACAGTGGGTAGAGCCACCATGAAAACCATTGCGTACAGTCCCAGCACCCAGACTGAATTTTTCTTCTCGACGATCCACGAGGGAAGAGCTATACCGAAGGACATGGCACCTGGACCATCTGGATTGCCGTATTTTTCCCAGTTGGAGCGGGCCTCGTCGTCTGTCAGGGCTTGATAAGCCTTTGTCAGCTTCATGAAAGCCTTCTCATCACCTGTCTCTTTGTCCGGATGAAGAATCAGCGAGAGTTTACGGTATGAACGCTTTATCTCACGCTCTGATGCACCTGATGAGACTCCGAGGATTTCATAGGGATCGAAATTCGCCATCTCCGCGTCATACTGGGAGACCTTGTAGGCTAGCAAAGCTAGGAATATCCAGCAGACGATTATGAAGGCCTTTATGAGAATTGTTTTTGTCGTCTTTCCTGGATTCTGCTGTGCCAGGATCTCCTTCTTCCTCTGGCAGTCTGGACATCTGCATTTCCTCGATAACTGATCTGGATCTGGATAAATTAATTATATCCCCTCATTACGAGTTTTTATCGTTTTATTGATTTGTTTAAATGCATTAAATTTATATTTATATAAAATAGTCATCATTAGGGATTCGGATTTTTTGTGGGATTATTTTGAGATTTGTGGTATTAAGTGAAAATAAAAATATATAAATATCCAGAAATTTCAATTTTTGTCTTTCTCTAGTTAAATTTTGATTTGTATTTATTCTTTTTGTTTTACTTAATAATTGCAAGACTATTATCTTTAGAATCTGAAACATTCGAAACTCGGAAAACGCAAACCCGATCATCACAAATTTCAAATGTCCCGCGAGTCGCCATTTCCGCGGATTTTACCGCCAAAAGAAGCATCATCGAGTGAAGAACGCCATATGGGAATCTAACCTGGAATTTAACAGAATTTTGGGGGTCGATGTATTAATAAAAAGATTAAAGAAATTTTCAATTGATTATAATCAATAAAAAATAATAAATAAATGGGGAATCACAAGGTTAATGAGGATAAACCGACAACGAGTAAGGGAGAAGTGGGACATTCTTTACAAAATTATCGTCCACATCAGCCGGACACTGAAAATTCTGATTCTGATAGAAAAGAAAATCAGAGAATCCACAGGAAAAAGAGAAAATGTCCTCACGAGCATAAGAAGACGATCCCTAAAGTCCTGAGAACGTGAGTAAATAAATAAATAATTTGCCTTATTCATTCACTAATTTTACGAGCCTTCTACCACCACGCTAATTAATTTAAAAAAAAATAGAAAATCCTCCAAAAACACCTGTTATTCGACTGATTTTTCAGATTTTTCTTCAAATTTTCATTTAAAATTAATAATAATCAATTGACAATTCCTAATGATAAGAATTCATTGACATTCTCCCGAAAATAAAATTAAATAATAATATAATAAAAGAAAACATAAGAGTAAAGAGGTAATAAATTTATTAAGTAGAAAATCTGGAAAAAATCCACGGATTTGAAATATATATTTGAAAATAAATTGGGGTGATTCGCTTTACGTCGGAAATTCTCGCAGATCACCTCCGCCAGAGAAGGATTTCACCAGCGAGGATGAGAACTTGATGCTAAATTACCTCATAAGTACGAACTCAGTCGACCATGCCCTGTGCATATCAATATGGCTCTCTCTCGAGCAAAAGGGGATATTGCCCCATCGGGCTTGGTCCCTCTTCGTCCATTTCTTCTCATCAATGTTGCCCACATACAAAAGATATAAAGTACCAAAAAGAGTTTCCCACAAATTGAAGCGGCTGCGAGAAATTCAAAAGGGATACGCTACAGCATCCGACTCGGATCTCTCCTCTTCCTCATCTTCAGAGTCAAATGGACACCAAGAAGAGGAGTCAAAATCCCTTCCGCTTCCACTAACAGATATCAGAACTGAAATTTCTTCAAGCAGTGGAGAAAACTCTCCAGCCCCTGATAGAACAATTCCAGGAATAAATGATCCCCTGGTTAAAACGGAGAGAAAATCTGAGTGTAAGAGATCTGGAGAGGACTCACCGAGGATCGAGTCAAAAGTCCTCAGAAAATATGAGCGCGTTTCTCCGAATTCACAAATTGATGATGCTCTGAATTTTCCATTAGTCTGTTCTCCAGGTTCCGAGAAATTCAAGCCGATGCTTCGGGCCTGTCTATCCCCAGTTCATTCCTCGCAAGAGGAAATATCTGACAGTCAAATTATTCCCGAGACCCCGCCGAGGCGATGCAAAGGGACAACCAATGCAATTTGTGTTTTGGAATTATCAGGATTACAGGTGAGAAGAGAAGAAATTTTTCACGAGGAGATGGACATGAGTGATGAGCACTCGACGCTCCAGGATCCACTCGAGGGAGCTGGAGAATTTCAGGGCCCACCGAGAGACGAGTTGACTTTGCACAAAAAATCAACGCCCGGAGGGTATCATCCGTACGCGTCAGAATGCACCTCCGGCAGTGGAGGATCGAATGGAGCTGAAAATTCCAAAATTCCAGGTCATGCCTCCGATGATTCACCTTTATTCAGGCCTTACAGAAAAAAGAAAAGAATTCTAAATTCTCCAGGGAGTCCAGTAACTCCAGAGAGAACGAAAACTCAAAAATCCCAGAAACAACTTGTAGGAAACAATCCTAATGATTCTCCAGCCATCATCGATTTAGTTTCTCCAGAATTTCCTCCAGTTAATGAAACTAATAATGAGAGAGAGACAACGAAGGAAAAATCTTCGCCCAGAAATTCAAAGAGAATTAGAAGATCTATAAGCGTCGAGAGTTCTTCTCCAGATGTTCTGGAACAGCTGGAGGGTGATTCATCTGGAAGAAATCGAGGGAAAAAGATTAAAACGAAAGGAGGTGAGAGCTGGAGAGCCTCTCATCGTCCTCCAGCGAATTCCATGAGCTCGATTCCCCAGAGAGACACATTTGTTAAGCGCAAGGTGGAGAAATTCTTGGATATAGACTCGGAGGACTCGGATGAAGGAAATGAAGGAGAAAAATCCCTGGAGAATAATACGAGAGGGCCAAATGCTGAAACCAGTACGAGCAGAGGAAAGGGCCCTGAATTCTCGAAAGGGCGAAGGGAGCAGACCCTGCAGGTTGCTAGTTATGAGGATATAGCGGAGGAGCAGTGGCGCAAGGCCAATGACTGGATGGAACCGAGACTTGCCATCATGGAGAACAGAAATGAACCTGGAGGAAAGAATTCTCTGAGGAATAGACCCGTAAATCCAAGAAGTGCCCGACCACCACGATATTTCAGAAGCCCAGTGTGAGTTTTTTTTAAGTTTTCTTTTCTTTCAGTTAGGATTATCTCGGGGAGGGATGGATTCTGGAAAAAATGATATGAGACTTTTTTGTGGAGAATTTCGAGAACTACAAAAAAGTCCTATGTGTATTTTTTTTTGTGTCCCCGTGTTATCGAGATAATCAAGGGAATGTTAATGGCGTGTGGAGGCTGATGGAAATTGTGGGGTAATTTTTTTTTTCGCAGTCGCAGGAAGCCGTTCACATTAGATGAGGATCGGGCGATGATCCAGGCATTAATAGATTATGATATGATTCATAAAGGGACTGCATTGAGAGCGTGGGAAGAACTTCAGAGGATCGGGGTTCCTGTGAGTATTTGGTAGATGCAATCAAGTGTTTGGGGATGACTGGGGAAGGGAAAGTTACACTTGGGATTATTTTCTTTAGGAACTCTCTCATCATTCTGCTAAGTCCCTGACGAATCACTATGCCAACATCCTGAGATGGAACTACCGGGATCATACAGACGATCCTACGGCTATCGCAAAATTTCAAGCGGCTGTGGGTAAGAGACTGAAGAAACTGCAGAATGCAAAATAGACGTGAAGATTCGGCTGGGGAATCGTTTGACTATTTATTTGTGTTATCTGTTTTTTAATTCAACTTTTTTATACTTGTGAGGAAGTTTTGGAGATGATTCAAATATTAGTGTTTGAAATAGTTTAATAACAAAAGAGATGGAATTTATTATGGAGAAGTGGGTGGGATTTCAGGTAATTATTTGAGGAGTGAGAGTTATCGGGAATCGAGTGGAATTTTTTATGATTTTTTACGGATGTTAAATGATAAGATTCACACTGAGGTTGGGATAAAGTTTGAAGTCCATCAGGAGGAAAGTAAGCGATGAGGAAAGGCTGTATAAATATTGATTCATAAGATCGGTTTCGAAAGGAAAAAATGTTTGAAAAAATAAAAGATGTTTATGAACACTGAAATTATTTGCACAACCCTGAATTATTCCACAGAACCCATAAAAATCATTACAAAATATTAAAAAAAAATTAGATGAAGATGAAACAGTGAAACAATTATTTCTCCAATTTCCTTGGACTTTTCTTTTGCACAAAAAAACTCAAAAAATTCTGAACGATTCAAAGAAACAATTCCAATATCTCCGAGTAATAGAACTAAAATAGAAAAATAATTTTTCCATTAAAACGGAAGAATTCATGAATTCTCTCTTAAAAGGAATACAATAATTTCGATATAAAAAAAATCTTCGACTTACCTTGTTTAGGTGATCGTGGCCAGAGGTAATAAGTCCCAGGTACAAGAATAAGCGCAAGAAATGACAGTAGAAAATAGAAAAACGTTCCACCACTCTCGTCGTACTGAAATTTCTGTCCACTCATAACTCATTCAAATGTTTATCCAATTACTCATAAATATCTGCTCCACTAGTACTAAGTACATGCGTTTAATGTTCAACTGAGTGTATAAGTACTTGAATTCACTCGACGCTGGCGATTATTCGTACAAATTTTTCAATCAGTCAACGATGATTTATATTTTTTCTATTTCCCCCCCGTCAACATGGAAAAATTCAGTAAAAACATGTAAGTTTAGAGGTTAGGGAGGGATTCGGATGGTAAACCACGATGATTGCAAGATTGCCAACTCACCACTTGAAACTACCGTTTACCGGGTTTCATTGACCTTATGTACGTGGCATGCAATGACGCAAAGAGGATTGACTAAAGTAGAGGGTCAGTTCTGGGGGTTTGAATGACTCCAAAGGCATCGTAGTACCTCACGCCAAGAGAGAGGGTGCGCTACACCTAATGCTGGGGTGTTTTTTTTTTTCATTAATATTAACCGAGTTTTTATTGCAATGCTGTGTTTTTAAACGATATTTCCATCGATTAGCCATTAAAAAAAAAAATTGGAATTATTTTGATAAAAAAAAAATGATTGATGGCGGGATCGAACCCTAGCCGTCCGCGTGCCAGCCAAGCACGTTGCCCATTAGACAACGCGCTCATCATAAAAATATAATTTCATTAATAGTATATTTTAGAATTTTTGAATAGCGATTACAACTGAAAATTCGAAAATTATTAATTGAGGAGGATTAACATGTCATTATTTAATGAATCACGTATATTCAAGGTTGTGTGACCATTTTCATGCGTTTATTATAAACTTTTGAAGAGAATGACAAAAGGCGAAAACGTATTTTTAAAAAGTGAATTTAAGCTGGAAAGGTATCGAAGATGATTAACAAATTGACAGGAATGTCTTATTACCTGTCAATCACGTGGATGACTGTTTTATCCGATAATCCACCCTCTACCGTTGGAATCGTCAACGAAAACGTCAACTCCACATGTCCGTCCTCATCTCTAATTCCAAACAAAAACCCTCGTCCCCCATCAATTTCACCACTCATAAATTAAACATGATACGTCACACGTGCCCCCTCATTATCCCCATTGAATTAATCCCCTTATCAATAAAGAGTCGGTCATAAATTACAAAATTCTTCACTGATAACACCAAGAAGCCATCGACCTCATCATCAATTCCAATCGCGTCCTAGTGACTGCTAAAATCTCAACAAAGCTGCACTTCGGAAATCGTTAGTCAATTTTATGAAGAGGCCCTTATCACCGATCGTTATCACCACATGGAAATTATCTCTCCGGACTTTGACAAGTGCTCACTAATTCTTTACATATCCCTCGAAAATCACTACTAAATCCCCGAATTTCCGGAATTCCAAACCTCAAAAACACCAGTGATTCCTCATTTTTTGGATAACCGTGAGTGTCAGGGGTGCAAAACCCCTCTCATCGAATTCCCAGAGAAATTTTTGATCTCCACCCCTTAGATCATGAACTCCATTATCTCCAGTTTCCCATGACAACAGGAGTTTCAGTCGTCGAGGTCAGTATTTTTTTATCTTATCAATTTTTCAGTAACCCCTGGGGCAAAATTGACAGGGAACTAATGGATTTCATTGAGAATTTTCCTGGGAATGAAATGGGTGGGTCTGAATGCCGGATGTCCTTGAGTTATCGAGATAATGGAAAAAAGTGATCTTATAGTTTTCGTTGTTGCAGATTAGTCATCGATTTGATAACAAACATCGTTGCCATTTGTTTTGGTGATACATCGGTTGAACAATGGGCTGATGTACTCGGTAACTAAATCCCCCACCTTGAAGAATGTCGAGTAGACAAGAGAATTACTCCAAGTGCAATCATCTGAGGATTCGTGTGTTGATACGTGGTGTCAGAAGGTGTTTTATGAGTTTTTGAGAGGCAGGAGGGATTTTGATTATTTAAATTGAGGGTCTGGGGCTTTTAAAATGTCAAAGGAACTGCCGAAGAATGTGGCAGAGTGGAGCAATCAGGAGGTGGTGCTGTGGCTGAGGGAAACTGGACATTCTGGAGTTATTCCTACGTTTCAAGCGCATGATATTGATGGAAAAGCACTGCTGACACTTAGGGAGGACGATCTCAAGGGACAGGGAATGAATCTAGGAAAAATTGGGGAGATTAAGAGACTGTACATCAGCATCAAGAAACTTCAGAAGGACAATGTCACGGTTCTCTTTGATCTAGGGCAGATCGAGTTCTTCTCTAGCAATTTTTACAGCCAGCAGAGACATGAGGTGAGATAATTTTGGGATTATCTCGTTAACAAGGGGTTCTAGAGGAATAAGCTATAGAACTTTTTTTTGAGAGAATGATATTTTCTACATATTATTTAATATGACGTTTTGTCGTAAATCTGATAGTTTTTGAGATAATGACGCAGATGAATTTTTAATTACGAACGATTGATTTTTTAGTTGCCGAGCACAACATCTAATAACGAGAGTTCAATAGAGCACGAGTTTTACTCAGCCTCGGTGTCAGATGATGGTCATGCATCCCACTTACCCCCGGAGATCTGGAAAACAGTGATAAGCCTTGGATATTTGTTCATCGTGACGTGGATAACTGCCTTCGTGATGGTGATAGTTCATGATCGAGTTCCTGACATGAAGAAATATCCACCTCTCCCGGATATTTTTCTGGACAATGTGCCCCACATTCCCTGGGCCTTTGACATGTGCGAGGTCACGGGGACACTATTATTTGCCATTTGGCTAGCTGTTTTAATTGTACATAAGTACAGATTTATATTGCTAAGGAGATTCTTTGCGTTATCTGGCACTGTCTTCCTCCTCAGATGTGTCACGATGTTAATAACTTCGTTGTCAGTACCTGGTGCTCATCTCCAGTGTCAACCCAGAGCGACACCAGATGATCCCTGGGCTAGAACAGCTTATGGAGAGCTGTACAATAAGATATCCATGGCGTATGTCATCTGGAGAGGGGCTGGCATGTCCATCCAGGGTGTGAGAACTTGTGGAGATTACATGTTCAGTGGACACACCGTTGCACTGACAATGTTGAATTTTTTTATAACTGAATACACACCCAGGACGATGTACTTTCTCCACACCTTCACCTGGATGCTCAATATGTTTGGGATATTCTTCATTCTGGCTGCCCACGAGCACTACTCCATCGATGTATTCGTCGCCTTCTACATCACCTCACGTTTATTTCTGTACTATCACACCCTCGCCAACAATCAGGCCCTCATGCAGCGTGACTCCAACAGGACCAGAATCTGGTTTCCCCTCTTCAGCTTTTTCGAATCATCAGTCGATGGTATTGTTCCCAACGAGTACGAATCACCATCAAAAATCATCTGCAACATCATCTGCACTTTCAGGGATATTTGTTCATTCGTTAAACAAAAAATGATGCAGAAGACTCATTTCGATGCTAGTAAGGACAACAAGAAAAAATTATGAAAATTCGTTGTGCCTATTAGGTTATTTATTAAATTAATTTAATACAATTATTATTAATTGGTTCGTTATTTTTTATTGAAAAACATTTCTTTTTCTTCTTTGTTGGTTATTTATCTTTTCTGTTCGTTACACGAGCAAATTTGACGAGAATTTAATATTTTTGTACACAACGACTGGTTATTGACGAGTGACAAGTATTGAGTTAGTTATTTATTCAAGGAAGAGATAATGTATAAATGAACTCATGACTTCGTAATTTATGTAATAAAAATGATAGAAAAAAATACACCATCAATTGTTTTTATCCAGTGGCGATTTATATTCTTGTAAATAAATCATTTCGATCATATATTGGTGAAATTAGAATATATTTTTACTGGAAAATGGGGAAAAATGGAATTTCCACGTTTGGTAATGAAGATGTCATCTACCTGGTTATTCCATCCATAAATTTATCGTTGGAAAAAAAATTCTCAACATCGTCTTGTCAGCGGTGTGTTGTTTTTTTCATCCAAACGTGGAAAAACCGAAAAAACATGGGTACACGATGAACGTGAACGTTTTCTAATGTTAATCAATTGATACATGGATCAGTATCTTACTTTCGGAATATATTTAGCCATGTACGGTTGGAGGACACAGCAGGTTGCCCAGTGGAATCCATAGATCGGCTTTCCAATCACCAGGTGAGGGGATAAATGGAGTGAGGGGGATATTTATTAAAACGAGGGCTTAACGAGTCTGCCCCCTTTAAGCCGAAATTGCCATTCCCTCGAGTTTCATCAAATTATCAAATAAATAACCAGAATTCACGGAATAAATGAACATAATAAATCGTACCCATCATTTTTGTTATGGATTTTATCTGGGAATAATTTATTAACAACAATTGAGACCGCAAATTTTTTAGAAGACTTTGTTTCCTCGGAAAATTATCAGGGGTAATTTCCAGTAGGAAAATTATTGTATATATGAGGACTGAAGGTTTCTCTGTGTGTGGCAGACTAGTCTAATTTCGCCTACACAGCATCATTCCCTCCTGCCCTCCTAAAACTATTCTAGTCCTGTCTAAAATAGTCTGATCCCCTCATTCTCCACTCGCCTGTGGTGCACCCAAGAAATCCCTCACATCATCTCTCCACCATCGCTCCATCATCTCTCCATCATCTCTCCAAGAAAATTCACTCAAATATCCGCAAAAGCCCCGCTAAAAATTCCACCCCTCAGGAAGATCCTCATCATCGTACCATCAGTGAAGTAATTATTTAAAAATGGGTGGTGAGCAAGGAATATGTGCAGTCTGTGGGGCTCCAGCGAATTTGCGTTGCACCGGTTGCAGGAGTACATTCTACTGCAGGCCAGAGCACCAGAAGCAAGACTGGAGCAATCACAAGAGCTCCTGCAGATGCTGGAGTATCCAGGATTCGTCAAGCCTTGGAAGACACCTGGTAGCGACCCGAGACCTGGAGCGAGACGATCTCATCATGTCGGAGGGTCCAATTGTCTTCGGTCCAGGTGCTCATACCGATCAGAGGGTTTGTGTTGGTTGTGGTGATGCCGGAGTACCTATTCGCTGTCCAGGATGTGGATGGTATGCCTGTAGGCTGTCCTGCAATGGTCTTCTTGACGACAATCGTCATGGGTTCGAGTGCAAGCTCCTGGAAAAGGCCAGGATCATCCCCAGGTGAAGATTTTTTTGATTATTTTCACCATCTTCATAAATTTCCATTTAATTAATTTATAATTAAATTATAATTTGACATTTCAATCATGTAATTTTTCTCGAGTGCCTTCAGTTGAGTAATTATTATTTATTTATTATTATTTTATATTATTATTTATGGATCACGAAGATGCGATATCTTGCTACCGTTGAGGATGATCATCCTCAAGAAGAGGAATCCCAAACGCTGGGAAATCCTATCAGCCCTCCAGAGTCACGAAGAGTCCCGGGGACCTGGTACGGAGGCTCATGAGGAGGTGGAAGCTGTCTTCCAGCAGCTGGAGCCGATCCTCCAGGCATTCTCGATGGGCAGGGATATTCTCTCCAAAGTCTGTGGTCTGATTGATGTTAATGCACTCGATACAAATCCTCCTGAAGGATCCGCTGGCATTTATCAGACTGCCTGTCTCCTCGAGCATCAGTGCATGGCCAATACTAGACATGGATTTGTGCTGGACTCCAAGGGTCGGCCTAAAATCGTCGTCAAGGCACTGAGACCGATCAAAATGTGAGTCCTTGTGATTTATTACGAATTGATTAGTTTATTGTTTATTATAATTTACGAATTTATTTGGAATTTTTTTCTAGGGGTGAACACCTGTCGACGACTTACACTCACGTTTTGTGGGCAACGAGAGCACGTCGTGAACATCTTCTAGCCACGAAATACTTTTCCTGTCGTTGTGAAAGATGTAAAGACCCCACGGAGTTGGGCAGCCATTTAGGAACATTAAAGTGTCCTTGTGGGGCTGGGGTAATTCTCCCTAAAGATCCCCTTGACTCTGGCACTGAATGGTCCTGTGATCTGTGTCCAGGTGAGTCCCCATATAATATTTTATATACCATCACGCGAATCCGCCATTTCCATATAGCCAATTCATCATATTTGTCAATATATTTTTGAAAATTGAAATTTTCCCGCGCGATCCTTTTTTTTTTAGGTCTTCTGACGTCACAGGAAGTCTTCGAGCTGACGGAGAGGCTTGGCGAAGAGGTGGAGAATGTAATGGCATCAGCGACGAAGGATAGGTTGAGTGACTTGCACTCCAGGTAGAGAAAATGAATATTATATTAATAACAGTCAATATTTATAGCAAATATATTCATTAACAATCGTTAATGATTTTTTGAATTGATTTTAATTAATCAACTTTCGATTTTTGAGCGGTAGCCATTATGCCTGATATACACGGATGATGATTTTCTGGGATTCCCCTAATTACCGAAAACATTGATGGCGGCTAATTTTTGGAGAAGTCATGGGACTTGCGTTTCACTGTTAGAAGTATCTAGATAGAATATCGAGATAGAATTTCCCTAATTATTAAATAAATAAATGAGGTATGTTGTACGGATATTTTTCAGGCTTCTAGTGCTCCTCCATCCTGGCCACCAGCACTGCATAGCCGTGGGCCACTCCCTCATTCAGCTCCTGTCACCTGAGGACCCGAAAAAACTCGAGATATGCAGAAGAATTTTAGAAACAACATCAATTTTGGACCCTCACGGTGGACGACTGGCCCTCTACACTGCCGTAGCCCTCCGAGAGCTCTCATCCTGCCCGGGTGAGGACACAATCACTCACCTGAATCGAGCTGTTGAATTACTCAGGCATGAACCTGCGAGAAGTCCTGGTGATAACCTGAAAAAGCTCATCCTGTCCGAGCTCTAAATATTTAATTATTGAATTAATATTGAAAATCACTTTATTTATAGATAAAAATAAATCGATGACAACGTCAATATCACAAATCAAAGACAAATTTAATTAGGATTGATCGAATAATATTCGGACATTTGACGGTTATTTATGGAGCGTACGGTCCCCGAGGCACTTTAATCTGTTCGAAATTTCTGTTATTGACCCTGGAATCGGTATTCTCGATATCGATTGATTTTCGGTTTCTCGAGCAGATTAATCTAGCCCAGTGTGCGATGGACAAGGCTTCATTCAAGAATGCGTAGAGAAATGGATGAATGGCGGCATTGAAGAGAGCAAGGGTCGACAGGACGACCTGGAGGTGCCACCACATCCCCCCCTTCGTCACCACCAGAGTCTTCAAGAGGAGGAAAATCCATTGAGGAAGCCTGCAGACGACGAACACCAGAATGAGAAGCAGAATCACTCGAACTGTTCGCTTTTTCCTTTGCGCATGCGCCGGCAAAGGGACTCTGCACTTGGGAATCCCCGATCTCTGTCTACTGAGATTTGTGGAGGCTATAAACAAGATTTTTGAGTGGAAAACACTTGCATTTTTATTTTTTTGTAACTCAGATGCGTTCTCTCTATAACCTGTTGAATTCTCGCTGGAGAAGTTCGTCTCCGACCTCGAGGAGTCCCCCGGTGTCCTCCTCTGGTTGATGCTCAGGGCCAGGAGAACGTGCACTGCGAGGAAGACGACGGTAAGGGGCAGAAAAATGACGATGAAAATGGCGATGTACGCAGTTTTTGCTTTTTCCCTGTCGTTGACGCAGAGACTACCTCTGGAATAATAATATTGAGACGAATCAGGGACTCGTAAAAGTCCAGACGGAGAGAAAAATCCAATCATCTGCCCCCCTGAAAACACCGATCTCGGTCTCCCCATCAATCAAAACTCCTCGCACGTGTTATAACCCAAACAATTCCAAAAAAAAATATGTAAACACAGAAAACCCACCGATAAATCGTTGAATTGTTTATTATCTGAAGACTCTGAGGTTTATATAGATCCAAAACTGGATACGCCGCTCCAGCGGCTACACTCCAGACTAGTAGAACATAGGAGGCAGTTGGAATCCACCCTGGGCCCCGGGTGATCGATATTTTTCTTTTGAATGCGGTGAATCGATCGATGGCGATTCCAGCGAGAATCAGCGATGCCACCAGGACAGCCGCAGTCTGGAGAAACGGGAGGACCATACATGCCCATTCCTCGAGGCTCCAGAGAACAGTCCTGGAGGATAAAGTGCTCAAGAGGTTGGGGCCAGTCGTCCCCAGGAGCAGAAGGTCGGAGAGGGCCAGGGACACCAGTGAAGCCCTGTAAAACGGCTTCAGGCAGGTCTTCGTGGGGATCAGGAAGAGGCGGATCACGACTCCCATATTTCCCAGGAAGCCGATCGACACTATCGGGTAGATCAGCAGTTGATACAGCAGGCGAGACGTCGGGGAGAAGTAGATCAAGTCACTTTCAAATGCTCCCTTCATTTTTTTACTGCCGATTTTTCTGATCTGGGGAATTATCTCTAGGGAATTTTTTCACCAGGCTGTGGGGTTTTATTCAGTTGCAGGATTGATTCGTAGGGCCTGATCGCGATAGGTTAATAGAGGGAAAAGTGGCAGAAATTTTATAAAAAAAGGGATTGAATATTTTTTTATTATATTCTCGAATTTTGGATTCACTCGTAATTTTTTCTCGTGCTCTTATAATTAATCGATAATTAATCGGTAAACGGAATTCTCAACGATGCCTTTTTTTTTATTGTGTTGGTCTTTTTTTGGAGAACAAGAGATGTTTAATGCGACGGAAGCTCAGGCGAACTGACTCCCGCTTCCTCGCAGATGCCATCATCGAGCGAAAATGTAGCAGATGGCTCAAGTGTTTACATTGAACGCATCGTTTCACAGTTATTAACAGATTTCCACTTCTTTTATCATTTTTTTCATCACTTTTTTCCCCTCTTTTTATTTTTAATTACAATTTTTTATCTGGAGTACAAAAATACGTAAGTAGAAAATACATTAGCAACACTCACACATTCACAGGCATTCGTTTATTTACAGAGACTAAAAAATTATTTCGAATTTCATTGAATAATTTTTACTGGAACAATTACCAAAAAACATCCAAAAATCATTTTTTTTCATATCTCCGAATTTTTTTCGAATGTCAAAATCATGATTTCTATTTTTTTCGACTGGTAATTATTAAAAAAAAATATTTTTTTCAATACTTGAAATTTATTCAAGGTTTTTTGTTTCGAATGTTTAATTGTCTTTCAATGAGATAATCCTGATTATTCAGAATACACATTTTTTTTGACGAAAATTAAATTTTTCTGCTTTTTATCTTTAATCGATGTAATTATTATTTCTCAAGGTCAAGGGAGACAAGTTCTCCTCGTGCGAACTTTGATGAGAGGATAGGACAGCGATTGTCCGTGAATTTGTGCGGTGATTTGCACTTGGTACCATTTACCCGGAAGTAGTTTAGTTATTTTAAATATTTGCGCTTTGTTTCCTGGTGGATCTGTTCGATTAACGCAACGATCAAATGTGTACTCGGACCTCCGACGTCTGTGTAGACTACATTGATCTGGAATTGTTGGTATTGCGGCGAGTTTCATCGGGGTAATGCCGCGCAATTCGCGGGCTAGGACGCAGTATTCCGCGGTGCCGACGGGGTCGACGCCGATCGTCACTTCGTTGCAGTTCTTCAGGTTGCTGAACTCCCGTGGGGGTTCCTTGGAGGGTACCTGCGCTTTGAAGAGATATTAGACATCAATGTTTGACATTTTTTGAATTTTCAAAATTTTGCCGCCTCCCGCACCTCAAGCAATATTTGTTCAATAATTCTTAATCTCCAATCGCTTCCAAAATTATTCCCAAATTTTCAGGATGTATTGAATTTTTGGCATTTTTTGAATTTTCAAAATTTTACTGCGGCGCTGGCGGCGGTGCAGGTGGCGGGTCGGTGTTGTCTTACGGGGAATACCCTTACTCGTTCGAGATATTTCGAGATTAATTTCTCCTCTTCGTTTTACATTAGGATAGGATCTAAAAACAATTTTTAAACGAAATTATCGTTGAAATTCACCTCTGGATATTCAACGATGCCAGCCTGTGTCGCCAGGACCGTCACCGAGAGGTCTTTACCGAGCTCCTGGGGTGTCGCCGATATCCTCAAAGTATATTTTTTCCCCGGCTGCAGCGGTGCCTCGAGTAACTCATGCGTCTTGACTTCTTTCTTCTGCTTCAGAAATAATTTCAATCGTAATTCCCATGCATAAAGTGAAAAAAAAAATCTTTTTATTAAAATAATGAACCAAAACAAATAAACCAAAATAAAATGAAGTTAAAGAAATATAATCCCTGGAATAAAAACATCTTTAAATTGATTGAAACAAACTTAAAATCGAATAAAAGGAAAAAAAAGTGATTTTTCATCTCGGCGTGCGGAAAAGTGACTTTTCTGCACTTGTTACGAAATTCATTATTGTGACACCTACTCTGGTGACGATGCCAGGTCCCCTGAGCTTCGCCCGGACAACCCCACCTCCACAAGGCAACACATGAAACTCAGTTGAGCCATTATAATGCGGTTCATACTGAAAATTAATAATTCCATAATTTTTCTGCAAATTCGCTGTTACGTATCGGCCAGTGGGAAGCACTTGTGCTCTTGTTTTTCTGTATTTCATAGATTCTGCAGCAACTCGGGTCGATAAATTATTCCTCGTATTCACCTGTAATGAGCCTTGTGTAATTTTTACTGTATATTCTGTAATTATTAATGGAATACGAACAACATAAAGGGTGAAATTGTAGGTGTTATCGTAAACAAGTCCATGAAGAGTTATCCGGGTCTGGTGGATGCAGTGGAGACCGGTGGGATTGCCTTTGTGGACGTGCTCCTTGGAGGATGCCCCACGTCCCGGGTGTGAGTGACTCTCCAATAGATTTTTAGCTGCGCAAAGAGTGGGTGGATGTCTTGAAGTGCCTGATGTCACCGCCAGACAGTACGTTGACAGGTGTGGATCCACATGACTGCGAATGCAATTTAATAACAAATTAATTACAATTAATCAGGTAAAAAGGCAGGCGTTATACTTTATGGTAATTTGATAATTACCTCTTGCTCCAGGAAACAGTGAGTCTTCTTCGACTTCTCCTCGGCTGAAATCTCAATGACCTGTGTCTCTTTCCTCTCGTATTCTCATAAGATATTGGCAGATGATCGAGTGCACTCGATGTAGCATAAAGAAGCACCTTCTTTGGTATAACCACCATCTTGTTACTATCAACCGGTGTTTTTATCTCGAGACGGTACAAGCCAGCTTGTACACATGGAATCGTAAAGTTTTGTGCCTCATCACCATCGTAACTGAATAACGGTGATGATCCAGGAATAAGTTGATTAACTGGCCATCGTGAAAGTGCTTGACAAACAATTTCGAAACAGGAATATCATTGATATTTATTGGTCACGCATTAACTTAATTCGGTAGAATGAAGATTGAGTTAAAAATATTTTTTTCCCTTCTGGGGAGCTATCTCGGCTATTTTCCTTTATCGACGTCTTTATCGTTTATGATAATTTTTATTGATTACTCGGGCAATGAGCTAATGAGTTACCGGAAATTTGCCCTTTAACTCCTTTTTTTTCATGTTCAATTCGTGGAGATGGTAAATATTTTATTCAATGCGCGTGTTAGTACATATATAATAATATATATTCGTCGTTGGATATAATTGTAATTGTAATTAATTGTTATATAATTGTTGGTGGATACAGATTTTCTGGGTGGAATTGATGGGGAAGACGTGTGCCTGTGATTGATGAATGAATTTTTAATTTTTTTTTAAATTTCTTACAACCAGTTTCGTCCCCCTGATGACGATTGTCCTCCGGTGGTTTGACGGATGTCACTGTCCAGGACACTGGACCCGAGCACGGGGTCACCAATATCGTCAGGGGCTCCCCGTCTCGATGACTCAGGTAATAAAATCTGAACAATCATCAACAATAATTAATTAATAATTACCAATTAAAAAGAAGCCGTAAGAAAAAAGTGGAATGTAAGTAACGAAAAAAAAAAAATTTGCATTTAATGACTCGAGTACTCAATCCTCCAATTACCCCTGCAATTAAAAAATCATTATTATAAATTAAACAATATGCAGAAAGTTCTCCAGAAAAATTTATTCATGTGGCGCAGTGCGGATAGATTTTTTCTCGCTTGGACAAAATGGCGGATGGCGTGCGAGCGTTAAATGGCGGCCGTTTAACGGGGATTTTATAGTGATAAGTTGAGCGCTTTTTTTTTATGTTTTTTTTTTTATTTCGGGGGAAAGGGGGAGGAAAGAATGGGAAGGAGTTACGGAGCCAAAACGTTGGAACGTTTAGACTCTGTGGCGCGTCTGCTTGGCTAGTTGCCCCGTAAAAAACATGAGACTCCCTTCCGGTCTTGTCATGAGACATATCCAGAACAAAGTCATTCGCTTCTTGATGATTAAAGTGAGTGGACCACCCTCAGTGCAAAACACGCATTTTTCAGCCTCTACTTAACGCGTTTTCGTTGATTATTTTCAATGTCATGAGTTCGTTACGAATTTACCTCAACCCCTGTTAATCATCTACTCTAGATTTTTTTTTTCAAATATTCATCATGGTGAATAATTAAAAAAATTAATTGCACTTTATTTTTGGATTGAAGTGGATTTTATTTTTTTGAATAATCAATGGCTCGATTGACTTCAAATAAAAATTGAATGCTGCCGAAAAAATCAATCGGTTGATTATTTTTATTTATTTTCTAGGAATAATTACAGAAATATTATTAATTAATAAAATTTAAAAATATTGATTGATATATTTATTGTTTAGTAATAAAAAAAATAAAGCAACTATTCTGAGAATTTAATAAATCGGTGTAATTAGCAATGGTGGCTTCACATTTAATTCTAAAAAATCCACATAAAACGCAATAATTTTTTTTCCAAAAGTTCATGAAGAAAAAAAAAATAGAAAATATTACAAAAGCATTATAATAAGAACTCGAGAGCCTCTACAGGCCGCAGGGTTAAACGAATTTAAATATAAGACAGCGATTGTATTTTATATTAGTATTAAGGTTGTATGTGATGTAAATAATTATTGTTAAATAAATGTGGCTGAAAAAAAAAATTGGAAATGGCTGTTCGGCTGATTGGTGGAAGTGAAAATTTTGTCCGTGAATGATGGGATGGAGGACTGTTGGAAAGATAGTGGCAAGTTCTGGAGACAGTTACGGTGTTGTTACCATTGTAAAATTAGCGACGGGACACAATGCCGGCGTCGCGGCGTCTGGGGTCGTCTGTTTCACGACCCCCCGACGTTCTAAATCCAGCATCACACGACATGTGACGAGGATCCTCCACTGTATAAAAATCCTGAGGTGATCCTCTCATTTTTAACATCGCTGACATTTCCATCCATCAGTGCGACTCGATTTTTGCACGCATGTTCAACGTCGGATTATCTCGATACCCGACAATCCTACCTCAAAATGTCACACCGAGATATTTATTGTTGAATTTTTTATTACGCTTAACAATTTTTTTAGTTTTTTAATTAAATTCATAATCTGTCTACTGCCAATTTTTTTTTTCTGTCGTCTTTTTATTGTTTTAGTTTTTTAATAGATTTTCAGCTTTTCACATTCAAAATTATTCACTCAATTTATAATAAAGATAAATAATATATTTTATATAAATTATTATATGAGGGTGTAAAAGAAATTGTTGTTTTTGAAATTAATTTCGATATTTTTTTTAGTTTAAAAAATTGATTGATGAATATAATGTGTATAATCTAGATATATTGTTTATAACGAGAGGTCGTCGATAGGGTTGAATTTTTTCAGTACCTGTTAATGATAATGGTGGAAAATAATTGTTTATGTTTAAAAGACTCACTTCGATACATTTCCTGGCTGCAATGTCGCGGATATCTGACACTCCGGTTGTAGGATGTCTTCTTTATTTATTGGACGATCACTCCGGTGATTTTTCACGTACTCAAGTGCATCGTCACCATTGGCAACACTCAAAACAGTTATTACCACCACAAATAAATAATTATTCACCCCCATCGCTGCCTCACACCATTCCCTCCGAACGTAAATAATTCTCTCAAAAATATCAAAGCCCCAGAAGAAAATCGTAATTTGAAAATTTGAAAAACTTCTCCCACAAAACGAAAAATCAAAAATCAAATTGCGCGTTAACTTTTTAATTGTCTGTTTGTTTTTTAATTAATATGAACAGTTGTCTGAGTAGTTGATAATTTTCTATTTGAAAATGAATAAAAATGAAAATTTTTTGAATATTTGGGATGATGAATTTTGGTGCTGAATGAGGTGGTGATTTTTTGAATTTTCTGGATTCACTCGCCTATTTTTTACACTGTTTTGTGAATTTTTCACCGGGGCAGAATGGGCTGGGGATTTAAGAGCACGCGCCCGTTGGAGCCCTCGTGGCCACACGAGATGAACCCATGGAGACTTCTAAACTTCTCGAGTTTGCACACACGGTACGGTGGAACGACCCCACCACCCAATTTCCCCTCCTTTCAGCTTTTGCCCTTCCTCCATCGAGACTTAGTTCGCAACTCGGCACTCGAAAATATTTATTTAAATTTTCTATGAAAAAATCATTAAAAATCATCTCAACCCCCGTCATCCCTCGATAAAGCAATGATATGGAAAAAAAATTTATTTATTATGATTTACAATTTGTTTATTCTCACTCAGCAGCATTTATTCATAATATTTTAAAGTTCATTATAAACAAATTAATAGAGATTGTGGAATGGTTGGAATAACTTTTTTAATATCAATTATTCTTTAATTATTTATTGCGTTATTGTGTTGTTTATTTTAGTTAGGAATTTTTATGAATTTTTTTACGGCTGAAGTAATGAAAATGGATAGCGAATTTTTCCAGCGTTTTTTTTTTGTGATTCTTGCAAATAATTTGTGGTAAAAAATTGAGGAATTTTGGAGTTAATTGAAGATTTCAGGTTGAAGGGTAAGAAAATTAAAGAGTAGCCGTGCACTCGTTTACTTTAAACGTCAATAATGGCCTGACAATACAAATTAGACGTTTCAATGCTAATTATTTAATTCAACCGCCTTTGGCTACTTTTTTTTATTCCCCTCAATTTTTGGGTTAACTCGAGGAATTCTAAAAGCGTTTTCAATTTTTATGGTGAATTTATTTTCCCTTTTCGGCGGCTTTTTTCGTCTCTTTGGTAATCACTCAGCGTCACGCAAGTCAGTAAGCGTCACGAGAATAATATATTCTTCTTTTTACGTGAAATCATTCCCAATACCTTAAAACCAAAAAAAAAAAAACACAATTTCCCATTTTTTTGGAGTTTGTTGTTTTTTAATCGTGACTTCTAGGAAAAAAATGGATATAATTCTGTGCAAGAATTTCAAACGCAATCGCAAATTCACAAAGAAATATTTTGAATTTTATTTCTATTCTACGATTGTCAAAAGTCCATAAAAAATTGATAAACCTTCGGAACATTGTATTGTGTTCGCGGTGGGCGGTTTAAAATTCATTCGTTAAAAACGGCTCAGAAAAAGCCCCGCAAAGTGAAGAAAAAGGATTATCGACTGTTAAAAAATAATACGTGGGAAGCTGAGGAAGGCGCCCATGGGTCCATACCACTGAAGAAATTCTCATTTATGGTTTATCATACATTTATATTCATGAAGTTCAAAACGACGAGGGAGTCTGTGTGAGTGGAGAGACAAAGATGAAGGTGGGCCCTCTACTTTTTTACGAGCTGCCGGCCGCTATACATCTCCATCTTTAAAAATCATCTCCTTACCTCCGTAGTTTCACCGTTTGACACGAGTCCCATTTTTTGGGCCCTCCTTTGAAGTTCTGATTGAAGCGAATTGAGTGATAACTCTTGGGTCATTAAATTTTGAAGCGAATTTTCGGTTTTTTTTTCGGTCAAGATAACGCGTTGGGAAAATAAAAATTTAGGGGGCCCCTAGACAGGGGTGGTTCAAATTTTGGGGTTGGTATTGCCTCTGATCCACCCTCATGTTTTTCGGGGACGGGAAAAACAGAATCTGGAGAGAAAAAATATTTCTATGCTTCGGCCCCCTCGGTGGGGGGCACCGAAATGTAGGGATTTAAAAGGATTGGATAAAGGATTCACCTAGTGTCGGGTGTAATTAAAAATTATATAAGAAGGATGAGAATTTATTATTTCTTTCCTTTTTATTGTAATGTCTAGAAATAATGTCTGTCTCCTTGAAATTCTTTTAGCCGTAATATTTTGAAGGAATAATTTTTTCAAGTAATATTTTGACAAGCAACCAGACATATTGATTCCACCGTGCCCCCTCCCCTGTACCCCTATCCCGATAAAAAATTGAATGAATTCCCATAACTTAAAATAATTAATGAAATCGATTAAAAATAAATCTTCATGAACGGCAATTGGTACCTCCTCTCAAGTAGTTTATGCCGTCATGAGTCAGCCCAGCTCCCCTATCTCTTTAACTTGATAATTAAATTCTTTAAATCGAAAAGACAAAAAAATCGATAAATTAACAGGAAAACATGAATTAGGAGAATTGGCGCAGTGAAAGTGGTTCTCCGATTTTCCACAGTAGCTCGGAAACGACGAGAGTTAACTCTCGAGATAAAAAGAGAATCCCAGAGGGGCCGGGAGGGGGCTAGGGGGGGCAGGGAGACGTGGATGATGACAGCGGGTTCGCTCGGGTGGCAGGCCGATAAATCAAGACGAGCGTTGTGGGAACCTGTGCCTCAGACCAACATCATCGGTACAACTGTCACTTTTTTCCCAATTTCAGATCAATTTTATTTCTATTGATTCATTTCCCCTATTTCCCCTATTTCCCCTATAGCCTGCCATCTGAAATTTCACCTAGAACGATTGATCCATTGAAACAAAAAAACGCAGTTATTGCATATGTTCAATTAATCATCTGACATGATCTATTAATTTCCCCCTACCCCCTATAGATAACCGCCGCCAGTAAATTCCCCCCAAAAAAAAAAATGAAATTCCGGTACGTAACGGGTCAATAAATATTGCCCAAAAAATGAGAAGCAATTCCCCTTAACCCTTTAACAATTCCCTATTGTCAATGTAGGGTCATTAAAGGGGAAATTGAGTGATTGCGTCTTTTCCTCGGATCACGTGGTAGGGATCGTATTTTCTGGACGGAAAATTCGTGACTTGACGGTAACTTGACATCCACCCACTTCACCCCCTTCCTGCTCCCTGGATAGGGGAGACCGCGGATTGGAGTGGAATGACGAAAAATTTGAAAAATGCTAATGAAATGTTTGTTATCCTAGGGCTCAGGTTGACTTCTCTCTTGTTCGGGGGTCTTCTGCACTGGACCCATCTCGTCAGCAATTCGTTGGTCGTAAAAGCGGAAGGTGAGGGAGGGGAAGCCCTCGAGGCGGTCAAACGGCTCGTATATCGGCATAACCGTTCCTCCCGTGTGCGCATAAACTTTCAAGACCATTCCCCTTACCCCTGTACCCCCTCTGCCCCCCCCTCCT